AAAGAGTTTTTCGCGTGCACGTGTAGAGCCAAATTGAGAGCCTTAAAGGTGAGCAATTTGTTATTATTTTTATTTATTTCTTATTATTATTTTAAGATTTTGTTATATTTTTTTTTCATTTGTTGAATTAATATGGGATTTTTCAAATTTAATTAGAAAGTTTAGAAGGAAGAATATTGGATTTCAGAACAAATAGAATTTACGAAAATGAGGAGGTAAAGATTCAGGCTTTTTTTATATAAGTTATTCTAATTAAAATGATATTAAATTATTCTATCTTATGAATTCAATAAAGGATTGAAGATCATTTGATTTCATATGAGATTTTGGATCGACAAAAGTTGAGGTAAAGATTTAGTGTTTTATTTATGTAAGTTATTAAGTTATATTAAAATCTATGAATTAATATTAGTTATTATAAATTGTCAAGCAATTGAATTAAGGGACCAATGAGATCAAGGTAAGATTATACAAAAGAAGAAGATATAAGGGGGCAAGAACAATATTTTTTTTAGTAATCATGCATAGTCAATTTAATTATAAATTACTACATATTAGTGCTAGAATCTTATGAAACATAACCAGTTGAGAAAAATTTAAGCATTGAAAGAGAGTTTCAAATTTTTGATGAGATCATTTCATAGAATGAATTCGGGTGAGTACTCTTACTTTTATATCTATAGTAGTATTTAGTTTCTTTTCAATCAATTGCATTAATGGTTATTGATATCTATAAATTCATGTATCGGTTTATCCTGATTTATATACTCTTTCTTTGGTCATATTTGAAAGTAAGGTCTCCTTTTAGTAAAAAAATATGACATGCTATTTAAAGATACATATATTGTTATGTCATTTGATAAACCTATGAATGATATTGATTATATGCATATATATTATTATATGTGCATGATTGACTATGATATAGTTATCCTATTATGACACTAAAGGTGAAACATTAAAGTACCCGTGAATGTAAATAGAAAAATATATTGATATTGAAGTATCTTAATTGATAAAATTTTTTTATTGTGCTTTTGTGACGGTTGTGGAAACTTAGAATAATATAAATTTATTGATATGATAAAATAAATTGAATAGCATGAAATATCGTAAGTAATCATCTTTACAACTATCAAAAGTTTTATACTGAAAATTTAACTAACATGCATTTTTTTTGTATTATTGTAATTTAGGAGTTTGAGTATTTACTGACTTTAGTTAGTTTCTTCTTGTTTTAAACTTTTCATTTATAATTAATTGATTAAAAGCTGAGCATCAGGAGAGAAACTATTTATAGAAGATGCACGTAATTTATAATGAGGTAAATTTATTTGTACTGTTTTAATTTAATTTTTTGTGGCTCTTTATTTGTGAAATTTTAGTGATATAAAATAAAAATAGAAAAATTTTATTTTCCCTGTCCGATCGCCTGCACTTGCTTTGGTCATATCTAAGCTTCGGGCCGGGTCGTGACATCTTGCCTTCCCCCTCCTCTTCATTGCCACGCAATCCCAACCCCCGATTTTCGCAACCTCTTATTCCAGCCATTCCTTTGTTGTTTCTTACAACCATCAACCTCCCTAACCTCCCCTTACCATCTCTCGTTGTTGTTACCTTGCTATCTTAGCCATCTTTGTCTGTTGTCACCCTCCCCCTTGCCGTTTCTTGCATCCTGTAATCTTTCCAGCCGCCCTTACTCGCTGATGTCCCTCACCTACCACAGAGAAATCCCTCCCTGATCGGCACCCTCCAACACCCCATCCTACCCATTCCAATCACCTACCACCACTTCCAATCCGCCTGATGCCTTTTAACACGCATAATCAACCACCACCCCTTTGTGATGCAACTCTAGTTAAGTTTGTGTCGTTTTTGTTGTTTTTTCTATTTCAGTTATATGGTAATTCCTTATTTTAATTCAGTAATAATATTTATTTTTTCTATTATCATTTGGCTAATTTCAATATCATTTGCTATCACAACCAGCTTAACTTTAGCCCTATTCTAGGGTTGTTACCAAAATTGGCCCCCGAAAAATTTTCTTTCCCCCCTTTTCCACTTAAACTACCTGACACATTCTTCCACCTCTCCAGACATAAACCCTAGCCATGACACCAAGGAGATAATTGTCGAAAACCTGATAGGGAGGAAATGACACAATGTCGCTTATGAGAAATCCACAAAGAGATGTCCCAGAACTTCATAAATAATATAAACAGTGAGAAATCCTCTAATAGCAGTAGAGGCTTTCCGCCTTCTAGATGAGACAATTCGGAAAGGTCACACGTAGACATAATGGTGACTTGTCAGATCGAATGGATGAATAACTACAACCCCAAACATTTGACAGGGAAATATTAGAGGAACCATGATAGTAAAGGTGGATTTATTGGACTTTGATGGCCACAGAGATTCGAAAAAATTCATTTAGTGGTTTTAGGCAGTGAAACATGCTTTTGAGTATGAGTATGTCCTACTGGATAGATTGATAAAGTTAAATGATGATTCTCTATGGTGGGAGAATCTAAAGCTACTTTGACAGCGGGAAGGGAAAAATAAAATAAAAAATTGGTCCAAAATGAAAAGGGAGATAAAACGCAAATGCATACCTGCACATTATAAGCAAGATATATTCTTGAGGCTTCACCAATTATAGCAACATCACCAAGTGATCGTCTCATCTTACAGTCAGAGTTCAATCCCATGATCAAACATCAAGAGTACAACCAATGAGACACTTAAGCCCACTCAACTAGAGGAGGAACCCGTATAGAGTGTAGAAAAAGTGAGGACCATCAGTACTCTAAAATTCATCCTCGCTAGTAAATGCTTCAAGTGTCACGATTTTGGCCACATGACATCTGATTGCCCAAATAGGAGAGCAATTCTTTATCCTAGCAAACAACCCTTGAAGAAAGGGACGGTGACACTAGAGAGGATGAAACCTTCAGAGAGGAGTCTCAACTTTCAGCATATAAGAAAGTGACGCCTGCGATTTAAGATGAGCTCATGAGAGATACTCCATCAGGATTCACATTAGTTCTAGAAGGTAGTGAGTTTGAGTGCAAGAGTTTGTGGATGTGGTGTAACCTATTATTTTTTTGTAGACCATAAGCGGAGTATTAATTGGATTGACAATGGTTGTCCAAGAGGGTGATAAGATTGAGCAACTGACACCAGACACATGATAATTTTAGATAAGAGAATGTTAGGATTTTCATATATACTGTTTACCTTATAAGCACTATTGAGGCAATATGTCATTTTATCAGAGATGAGAAAGTTTTGAGTTACTTCAGGAAGGCTATATGGAGTAATATGAGTATTGAAATTTAGTTCAGTTATGCAACATCCCCACAATCAGATTGCCCGACGAGCGTGGTTAGTTGCTACTTTGAAATTTTCCTAAAGTGTTTTGTGGGAATGAACACCCGACTGTGGGATCCAGGTCTTTCCGGAGAAAAAGAGACCTCTCCTAAATGGTTGCCATTAAGAGTTGACCAGCCTGTCCTAGATTTGTTCCAAAGTTGATTTCTCTCGACAAAATTATTTATCAGATACACTTGAGTATAAAGAGTGGGAGAAATAAATTATATATTTGATGGCTCGAGAGTTACTTTGCGACTGCATTTATATGTTGTATCAACTCAGGTTGTGCAAAATGATGATTGTGCTTATGTTATCAGGATTTGTTTTGGAATGACAATGCCTATAGTATTGACTTACCGTGAGATTGCAAAATTTTCACCACTTTCAATGTGGCCGACATTACACCATACTATGAGGAGACAAAAGATTTGATGGCTGAGTTCAAAGCTCACCTAACCCGAGAGATGACAGAACGTTGGGTGCACGGACTGCGAAATTTCAAACCAAGGACCGTGAATTCTTCCGTGATCTTAGCAATACCAATTCACTAGTCTTTCTTCCCTGTTATGCTTTCCAATTTCCCTATCTTTCCAATTAGGTCATTTTCTCAAGGGTCCTTTATAGAGGTTGTATTAGGGCTTTGAAATTCAGTTTTTGAAGTGAGGTTTATTTTGAGCAACCGCCGAAGTCGCATGTTTTTTTTTTAGGATTGTATCCAAGTCGAGTGGTGTTTTTTTTGTATTTCATTCTTGAGGCGGTGATTATACTTCCTCTACCTCTCCACATCCTTTCCACTTCGCTCCCTATCACCCTTCATTGCTACAACTTCCAAACTAGTCGTTTCCATTTTTTTTTGCAGTTCCAGCTGTCGCCATCGCCTTCCCCTCCCTCCTTTTGCTTCCATCGCTGTTTCAGCCGTCCATCTTCACAGCCGCTGCTGTTCCAACCCTTCTTCTTTACTGTCATCAATGTTCCAACCCTTTGTTATTTTTTGCAGCCGTCAACCTTCCATGTCGCTCCTTATCATCTTCTGTTGCTGCTGCCTTGCTATCCTAGCCTTCTTTGCGTGCTCCACCACTAGACAACAGCCTCTCTAGCCGTCCTACTCGCTGCCACCCCTCACCCTCTCTATAGAAACCCCTCACTGTTGCAACTGCCACCCTCCAACACCCCATCCGAGCAATTCCAACCATCTACCGCTACTTGCAATCCACCTAATAGCTTCCAACCTGCCTAATCAACCACCACCCCATTTCTGATACAACCCTAGTTTAGTTTGTGTCGTGTTTGTCGTTATTTCCAATTTCGATTATCTGGTTGTAATTCCCTATTTGATATCAGTAATAATGTTTGTTTTCTCTATTATTGTTTGGTTGACTCTGATATCAGTGAAATACACCTTTTCATGCATAGGCAAAGGTGGCATATATGTAAAAATTAAAGTGTAGGTGTTAGATATGTTAATCATATTAATTGTGTGGTATGTATTTAAATCTTCTTATTTTTTGTGTAAGTTTTACGAAGTAACATATGTTTTTTTTTTCCGCATATGTTTCCAATGGAATTCCATTATTTTATTGTACTATATTATTCATTATAATAACAAACATATGACGTTTGGAATCAAGGATACCTGTCATCCAGGCGCTAGCGGCTGAAGTGAAGCAGACAACACAGTCTCTCCTTTCTCAGCTTCTTCAAAAACTACGATCTAATATTCAGGTTTTTAAATGTCGCTGATCCAACCAAGAGTTGTTTACTTTAATTCATTATTTTTGTTTTATAATAGAAATGCGCTCTCATCAACTACAAAATCTGAATGGTATCCTTGAACAATTTTTGTATCCTAATTATGTTCACATAATCTCAATCTTAAGAATGAAGTTCCTTGAATCATTATTCTGATGATATAATACTTTCATCTGTACTATGTGTCTTCAACTTAAACTAATATTGAGTTATACGGAACTTGTCCATTATTTTTTGAGCATTTTCCTTCTATTTGCTTAGTTTTGTCCTCGATATACTTTGGGTTGTGGCTGGCGATTGTCAATATATCACCAAATTTACCAATGAAGCATTTTAATGAAAACTCCAACAATAGAAGTGTTCTCCATTAAAGCATGACATGAATAATAGCATATTTTGTTTTAGTATTCATCCGCTACAGATAGCAATAGGAAGAGAATCAGAAACGGATATGACACTGGACTTCACGAGGTCTAGGTTTGCCTTATGTGATGATATGATATAACGCATAAAATCATTCATACAAAATTAATGTCATAGTTCTCAAACTATCAATTACAATAAATAATAATTCTTTTGTTGAAAGGCTGAAAACCCAAGTAATTCATCCTTAATGATAATTTAATATACGTCTGTATGGACAAATGACTTTTTGCAATTGGAAATGCTAAAATATTAAAATAATTTTAATGATTTCTAATAAGTACACTACAACTAAATATTATGTACATATGGAAGAATGATCACTTTAAAAAATGTTAACCCTGATGACCTAAATATTAATCTTGATGAACTATGCACTTTTCTATTTGATCATATAGATTAAATTTTAAATTTCAATCTTCAATTTTTTTAAGATTTTATCATTGATAAAGTTATGAAATATTGATGTAACATAACATTTTTCAATGAATGAATTATGAATCAAGAACATGAAATCATTGTCAGTCTGATTACTTTCATAGACAATTTATCAAAACCAATAAATCAAGAACATTAAGTCATTCTCAGTCTGATTACTTTCATTGATAATTTATCAAAAGTTGTGTTATGTGAGTACTTTATTTATTCATCAGCTACAATAGACCGACTCAAATTTACCTGAAAAATATATTCAGTTTCTTTTAGAGGTTTAGGTTTTGAGTTTATTTCCCACTTATATTCATTTTGACTCTAAGTTTGAATTTATTCAAACATAGGTTTAGATTAATGAACATGTTCTAATGTAATTGCATATTCAGATTCAATAAAATCAGATGTAGATTCACATTGTAATTATCTTCTGCATTTAAGTCATCATTGAAGGAATGCTCATGAAGATTAATTTCTTCAGCAAGATTAAATTCAACCATACATGATTCTTGTGTTGATAGGTAAATTTCCTTAAGGGACAATAAGAAAATGTAGGATAGTCAACATCTGTAATATTCCTCAATCTCAAAAGCTATATTGAAGGCCTTATCTAATTTTTTGTGTGAATATTCTAGCTTAATTTCTTGCCTAAGGCTTTTAATGAGAAAAATAATCAGAAAATAATTATAAGAAAAATAATGTTTTGTTACAAGACCTTTAAACATTTCCTAGCATTCGTATATGTTATAGCCACTTTTCTTAAATTAACCATGCGATTGATCATTGTATTCAACGAATAACAAAGTTTACTCTTGACTTTTATATTTCATTTAACCTATGCAGTTTGTTAAATAATTTAGCAAGTCCTGCAGGTTTTGATTTATCACATTCAAATGATTGGATATTATTCCTAAAGTCGTGTACAAAAAAATCTTCCAAGTTATCCATCTGATATAAATTATTTTAAAATTATACCTCTCATTGAATGTTTAAATAATAATTTTGAAACTCATGTTAGTCGTACACGGTGATTGGCTTGATCCATAGCTTATTTGATTTCATTGAAATTCTATTATGCATTCCAATGGGGGTAGTTGCTGATTTCAGCAATAACAGTGAAAAGAACTGGGAAAAATATGAATAACATGAAGAACAAGATAATGGCAAAACACTACATGGGTTTCAATCCAGGTATAGTTGAAGAGCAAGGTTCAGATGTACCGAAACCTCCTAAGAGAAAATAAACACAAGTCTAATAAACCCATATTTTTAAATGCTAGACTCTCCTAATTACAAGCATGTCACCCTAAAATATAAAAACAGAAATAACAAACTAAAACACATAAACCAAAAAAAAATAAACTGAAATAAAACTCTATCTTCTGTGTCATTCTCTCAAGGCTTTAAAAATTCCCTCATATTGAGCAATCTCATAATCTAATTTGTAACGAGCAACTAACTTAGAGACACTGAAAGTGATGGAGTCATTTTAATCTCCAGGCAGGTTAAGTTCGATGAACCAAGCATCTTTTAACATTGTCACTGTTGAAATTGGATCAAGGGGTTTCCTACTCTAATACTGAAGAATCTCAATCCACTTGATATCAAATTCTTTAGAATCAAGATTAATTGGCGTGGTTGTAAGATATTTTGTGTTTCATATCAGCGTCAGAATACAGTGATCGAGCTTTCAAACTTGGTGTTGTCGAAGTAATGATGCTTGATTTATATGATCATTTATATCAGTCTTATGTTGATGGTTAAGAGAAGCAAATCAATATATCGTATAGTTTGATCAAAAGATGGTATCTCTTCTGAGCATATTGATGATTAGATGCTGAAAAATAGACATTGTAATGCACGTATGATGATTCCAACATCAAGTCAAACTCATCGAAACTTGAGGCTTCTTGATGAAATGGATTTTCACCTCCTTTCTCAAGAATTTTATTTTCGTGATCTGTTCAATTTTCGTGATAGAATAGGTTCTCTTCTTCCTCCCCTTTCACCCCATTTATGGATTTATTTTGACGTTTTCCAGGGTCCCGCCATTCAAGAATCACCATTCTTTCTTACAAACGACGAATTTCTCATTGCAAGTCTTCTACGATTAATTGTTGGGTTGGACGTACATTTTTTCTTCTTGGCAGCATCCTGATTTTCTTTTGCCCGTTTTTTTGACGGGACTGTAGAGGAAAGGAATCAGATGAGACCTCGGATGATCTGCAATTGAGGACAGCTTGCAGAGAATGTAGGAAACACCGCAGGGAAGAACAAGAAGACATAAATCAGGGACCAAAATTCTTTGATAGGGAATTCGTGCACATAGAACCGCAAGACCTGATTCTGGAATTCCGGCACATAGAACCACAATACTATGATTATGGAATTCCTACAAACACAGCCTCAAGACTTCCAACTGATCTTGCAACCGCCTAAATCTTGAAAACAGAAAGAAGACAGAAATCAAGAGGACAGTAGGGATACGATTTGACTGCTTCAAGACTGGATCAAGAAGTCACGGTTCAACCAACCATTGATGGTAGATTTGAGAGAGAGCGAAAAGAACCACTAAAGAAAGCAGGGAGAAAAACATGTCTGGAAATTCTAGGCAAGAAATGGAATCAAGAAGACGATCATTAGTCAAATCGTCAACAGAGGCACGGAGAAAACAAGAAAATAAATATAACAATAATCCCAGGAACAGAAATTTGCTCTGTCAAAATTCAGCAAATCTGGACAGCATAAATCTGTGCTATGATACCAAAATGATACCGGACGAAGGGGTTAGTTACTGATTTCAGCAAGAACAGTGGAAAGAACTTGGAAAAATAATGAATAACATGAAAACCAAGATAATAGTTGAACACCACATTTGCGCCAATCCAGGATACAATTGTAGGGAAAGGCTTGGATGGAATGAAACCTCATAATAGAAACAAACACAAGTCTAAAAATCCTCATGCTCTCAGCCCATACAACACAACCCCCTATTTATAATGTCTAGACTTTCATAATTACAAGTATGTCATCTAAAATATAAAGTCAAATAAAAAACTAAACCATATAAATCAAGACATAAACTGAAATAAAACTATAGCCCCCACATCATTTTGTCATATTATTTAATTGATTGACCTAATTTTTGCAGCCAACTAATATTGTAATGCTTGCCGTTTTTTAACACCATTGTTACAAAATTGAGTTTTGGTTCGTTTCTGTAAGAAGAGAAGTGAAGGAGAGAGAGATGGAGAGATTGATTAAGCAAGAGAACATGCTTGATTCGATGACAAACAGAAGATGGGGGTGGAGAATACAGAGACGAAGGGATCGACATAATGAGACGAGCCGTGTATAAGCAAATCAAGATGTGGGAGAGCGAGCCGACTCTAGATGGAGATCTGACCACGAGCGTGAGCTGTGTGAACCACTCTCTGCAGTAGGGGCGACGCTGGAGCTTGGATGTTGTGCTGATGCAGTTGATCATGCATAAGCAAAAAAAAAAGGAAATTAGGGATTTCAGAAGGTTCAAGTACGAGCTTTAGAAGTTGGATCACGTGGAAGCCCTATTGCAAGCAGTATAGGAGTAAGAAGAAAACTGTGAGGTTAAAATTATATATATAATAAGAAATGGTTATATTTTCATTTATAGACTTTAAAGGCTTATTAGGAGGATAAAATTTACGTAGGACAATTGAGAACATTAATTTAATATTCAATAATTATATCACTCTTATTAGTTTAGAATGTTTAGTATTTCTTTAAAATAAAGTTTTACTAGAGACTAGATAATAATAAGATTATATGGCTAAGAAGTACATGAACTTAGGTTTTAAAATAATTAGATCTCTTAAATATATCTTATGGAATTTTTAAATTCAAATTCCTTACAATGATTCAATATTTATAAAGTAATTTGATAATATGATTAGAATATCTTTCAGTAATATAAGAGATAAGCTTGTTATTTTAGTATTCATATTAACTATAAAAATTAGATATCAAATAAAAATATTTTTAAGTTAAAAAAATATTTTTTTTTTGATAAAGTTAAGTATAGATTATTTGGGAGCAAATTATTAATATATTTATTGAAAAGATAACTTGATTTTTAAAGAGAACAATGAATAAAAGCACATGAAAAAATAATAATAGGAGTCATAATTGAAAATAATTGAATTAATGGAAACTTGATTGAATCTTAGGGTTTGATATTTTGTTTATAGTGTCAGCCTAAATGTCATCGTGAAAATCATTTATAGAAGTTTGAGATTTTAACATGCCAACTGAGATGAGTAATCATGTATCTAAGTTAAAATAATTTTCTTTATTTTTGAAGCTATTTTTTATTTCAATTTCTCACATTTATACTCAATGTCAATAAAATTAAACTATAACCACTCTTTATATTGATAAATATGACATGCATGTAGATATTTCTGCATAAATAGTGGCACAGAAATATTATTTTTCATAGAATGACATTATTTTATTACATTGCTTTTAAATTATGTTAGGATGACATTTATTTATTAGTAGACTAATAATAAATGATTCATAAAAAAATTAATGCATGTTAAAAAAAAGGTATATATAAAATGCTTGTATGTGCATGTTAAGAGAAAGAGTTCATCCTTTTATGGTATTAGCTGTGGACTCCAATGTGGCCATGCCCGTAGATTTTTTTCTATCACATTAGATAACTGTGTTAGTTAGATCATGAACCACTGCACTGATGGGAGAATATCGTCCCAGAGGTGAGTGACTATCTTTTCACCACAGACAATAGTAGACATGTTTTGTGCCCTGCTGTGCCGATAGGATATGTATCAGTCAGAGGTGTGTTAAATTATGTTTAAATGATGTTCTTGAGAGGAATGCAAAAATTAAGAGTAAGAAGTATACTGCAGTTAAAATATTAAACCTTGTAAGGTAAATTAAAAGCTAATGCATGTAGAAATTTTAGATTTCTTCCATCAACAAATGTTATGAATACATGATATAGATTATTATATGAATTTTATATAATAAATTAGAAAAGTCCAACATACATATTTTCTTCTTTTTCATTGAATTAATGTAGTTTAGAAATGTAATTATTCATTGAGTTATCTTAGATAACTCATTGCATTGTTTTAATATTTTCATGTTCTAGTTTTTTTATTAAAAGATGAGTACTATATGAGGAAATGCGTTTAGAAGGTGAGGTTAGCAAATTGAAAGGTATATTTATTATTTGTTAAATTAAAATATTTTCCTTAGTGATTTTCTTAATTTATTTGGATAGTAAAATTTTAGTGATGGAAAATATAAAATTTTAATTTCACCGTTTAACCGTTTGTTCTCGTCTTGAAAGTTTCGAGTCTCTGGGCTGGTTAGTGGCAGATTCAATGATTCAATATTATGTTTTGATACTAGACTAATCTTAAGCATCATAGGGAATAATGCTATCAAAGGTGACTGTATGATTTAATGCATGAAGTCAAACACAAATTCATTCAAATGATTGGATATTATTTATAGTCATGTTGAAAATCTAATTTAAAATATTTTAAGATTATACCTCTCATGGAATGTTTAAATATTAATTTTGAAATGCATGTTAGTCACATTATTATTGGCTTGATCCATAGCTTATTTGATTTCATTGAAATTCCATCATATTATTCTATTGATTGGCCCAATTATTGCATCTGGCTGATGGAATGATTCAATATTAAGCTTTGATTCCAGACTAAGTTTAGGCATCCTAGGTTTTAATGTTATCTAATGTGATTATATGATTTAATGAATGAAATCAGACACAAAGTCAATTAAAGTTCACAAGTCATCAATTAAGAATTAATAATCATCTTTTCAGAGGAAAATTATAAAGCACAAAATTTCTTCCAAATGATAATAAAAAAAAGATCTCCATTTAAGCAATACTTGAATTTGAGAGGAAAGTAGAAATCTCGTTAAAAATTGAATTTTTCATATTTCAAGAGTCTTTAATAATCCCACAAAATTTTCAAAATTTCATTATAGAGCTGACTAATCTCGATAATTGATGAGTACTCATAAAGCATTGTCCGGTAGACTTGTACTCAAAAATTCATGCAAAATTGATCCTGCTTGTGGAACTCTCGTATATGATTCTGATCTTGAATGTGAAATTGGGATTTGTGAATAGAAAAGCTAATCTATCCAGCCCAAGCCAGCCATTGAAACAATTCAGGGAAGAAAAAGTTAAGAGGAGACAACTCATTCTTATAGAACATACATCTTAAGCATAGTTATTCAACCAACCTAAAATTCAACTTGGAAAACCAGAAAATAAAAAAAAATACAAATTAAAATAACTAAACTAAAAGCATTGTTATTGATCATTAATTTGTTCATTTTAATGAACTTTATTATTCAGAAAAGCTAAAATTGAAATTAAAAAATTATAGTAAAAGTAATTGAACTAGAAACATTGCTAAAAATCATTAACTTGTTCATCTTAATCCACACGATTTGCATGTCCAATGTGCTTTAGATTTTCAAATTCCATCAGGATAGTTGCACTCAAACTATATAAAACTGAAGAGTACTTGAGGGAAACACCAATGGTAGAGGAGATCTTTAGGCACATGATATGATTTTGGATAAAGTCATTCAATGAAATTCTTCTTTTTATTTTAATGCCTCACTTGTAAAATAACTTTCAGATTTTTTGCCTACATTTGTATGCTTGAATGTAATTCATCTGAAATTTGCAGAACATAGCTGGCTGCTTCCATTTTTTTAAATTTTCAACAGCTGCAAAATATTAATTTGCATCTTTCTTTCCTAATCTGTATGTTAAAGCACATTTTGATAATATGCAGTTACCTGAATGCCTTCGTATTGTCGCACACTTAAGACGTATAGGAGTTTTTGGTGAGTCGGAGATGCGCCTACAGGTTGGTATGATATCCATCACATTTGTCAGTTTCTGTTGCTTCCTATTTTAAGTTTTTTTTCCGTATATTTTCTCTTGGCACTTTTTTTTTTTTTTTCTCTAGAATCAAGCCACCTTTTTTTCATCTATTTTGAGTGCATGTTCTTTGCGTAATCAACATAAACTTTAACATTAATTAAAAGAAATGTTTCTATAGTCCATTAGGAAGTTGGATTTATGATTCTACGCATGGTGGTCCATCTATTGCTGTTTTAACATTTATAACTGTTTTGCTTTTGAGATTCTATGCACGGTGGTCATTGCCTTAATATATTAAGGGGCATTTACATACATAGCACACAATTCTTATGTTTCTATGTATCTCACTTCTAAACTTTCATATTTACACACATAGCACTCAAATGCACTCAATCATATTTACACACATAGCACTCAAATCTTTAATATCACATAAAAAATAGCACTATTATCACTTTTTAAAAGTAAAATACATTTTTTCATGGTAGGTTTAAAACACCTTAGTGCCACATATGTAAATATGAAAGTTTAGGTTTGAGATATGTAAATGCATAAGAATTGTGTGCTACATATGTAAATTTCCCATAAATTAATCATGTAAATTTCCCTCCCATAAATTAATCACTTTGCCTAACTCAGGTTATATTTTGCTGGCAGTTTTTGAGGTGCAGGGAGGCATGGCTCTCTGGAATCCTCGGTGATTTGGACCAGAGTAATGTTTATGAGTATTTGAAAGGAATGGTTAATTGCCACAGGATGCACCTGTTTGATGTTGTTAACCAGTACCGAGCCATTTTTAGTAACGATAAATCAGGGAATGATGAGAATTATGATGGTGGACTTCTTTTTAGTTGGTCGATGCATCAGATCAGAAATCATCTTGGCACTCTTGAAGTCATGCTCCCGAAAATCAGTGAAGGCGGATCATTGTCAAATATCCTGGATCAATGCATGGTAAAGTGATTCGTACTCCCATTAGCTTGTTTTCACGGCATTAACACTTTATTTCAGCCTTTATGTTTGAATTCTCATATATGTTGGGGTGTCAAAAATTGACCTGATATGCCAACTTGATTTGAACTCGACTTGAAAAATTCGTGGTCGGGTTGAGCTGAATAGTTTTTGGGTTTGTTTTGGGTTTAGGAAGCCTAACCTGTTTAAATTATTGGAGGTTTAGGTTGACTCACCAACCCAAAATTAGATCGAAACTGGCCTGCTACGCCGAAATTAAACCGAAACCAACACCTCAACCCGAAATTGACTCGAAATAGATCCAAATAGTTGTTACGCCTTATGTTAAACAAATTATATCGGTCGGGTTGGGATTGGGGTTGGACTTTTGACTTGTATAATTTCCGGTTATGATTTTGGGTCATACTATGATTTCACCCCTACATATATGAAAATTATTTGTCGGATCAATCTTAATAATGGAAGTTTTCTTGTTCTATGAGTTGAGCTTCTTGTCGCCCAACAAATAAATCATTTGATCACTCTTTAAACTTCATTGTCGATCACCTTATTTTGGATGGTGGTGAGACCTGCAATGCTTCGTGGCTCTGAATGTTGGCTTTTAAAAGAGAATCATAAAACTAAGTTAAGTTTTGCCGAGATGAGAATGATTAGGTGGATGAGTGGCTTTACACTTAGAGACAAAATGCGAAATGAATATATCCGTGATAGGGTTGGTTTAGCTCTAGTGACGAACAAAATTAGAGAGAGTCATCTTAGATGGTTTGGTCACATTAAAAGTTGACCATTTGATGACCCGATTGGAAGAGTGGATGTCTTAGATTCGACTTATGTTAAGAAAGACAGAGGTAAACCTAGGATGGCTTGGGCATATTTATAAAAAATGATCTTAATTTATTAGAATTAAATGAAAATATCGCACTAAATAGGACGCAATGGAGAAAAAAGATTCATGTAGCCGACCCCACTTAGTGGGATAAAGGTTTTGTTGTTGTTGTTGTTATATCACTCTTTAAACTTGTTATAGGCGTGGCCTTATCCTATTAAAATTGACTCAATAATTTAAATCGAGCGAAGTGTCAAAATAGTCCCCTGACTATATACATGGGGCTATTTGGAGTCCTAGAGTCTATAAAAGTGTCAAATTAGTTTCTAGACTTTTTTATTGGCGCTAAGATAGTCATTCCGTGGGAATATTTTAGCCCATATCTCACTTTCAGGTTTTTATATTCACATATATAGTGCTTTGTTGTTTTAAACTTATGCATAAAAATATGTATTTGACTTTTAAAAGAATGGATTAGTGTTATATTAATGATTTGAGTATTGTTAAATATGAAAGTTTAGGTGTGAGATATGTAAATACATAAGGATTGTGTGCTAATATGTAAATGCTCTTTTAGAAATATGAGGACTAAATTGATACTTTAATAAACTTTGGGACTAACGTGACTCCCCTACAATGAGTCAGGGGACCATTTGGACACTTTTCTCAATGCAAATCATTTCTCCAGAGTCTACCATATATAACAAAGCGGCTGTTTTGTAATTATGATTTGAGCATATTGTTCACATTCATGGTGATAGTGTTGTTTTGAGTTTTTTTTTCATAATTAAACTTTGTAGCACTTTTTTCATTTATACTACTTTAGGACATTGTTAAACGCTTTGTTAGAATTTTAGGAATAATCTTTAATATCTTCTATTTTATTACTTTCTTTATTTAAAATATAGAATTATAAGTATGTTATAATTCTTGTTTCCTTATTTTATCATGATGAGTTATGATTGATTTTGTCTTTTCTAATGTGGGAGTTATCCCCCACTATTTGTCTTGTAATATTTTTAAATTGAAGGAGTAATATTTTTTCCTTCTCCAATTCACACTTTCCATATGAATATATGATATTGTTTATCTTGATAAGAGCTTTTTGCATTTTTTGTTTACATAATGGATAACTTTGTATTCGCTTATCTACAGTATTGTGCCATGGGGCTTGGCTTGGTAGGATTGGATTTTCGGGGCTTGCTTCCACCACTTTTTGAAGAGTATTTATTTACACCGCCCTCTTATGAAATTTACTTGATTAAACCTATGTTGACCATCTTCACTGGCATGTTTTGGTTTCCAGTGCAGTTATGAATTTATTTTCGAAGAACATGAGCGCGGCTGTTGAGAACTTCCAGGTAAATGTTATTCCATAAATGCTTCATTTGATTTTTGTTTTTTTTATTTTTATTTTTTGCTTTTTAATTAGACTTAACTTCTATCTAACCTATAAAAATTATAATGTGCTTAATATTATCAATTTTCGTTATTTCATTGAATCCTTATTGCCATACATTTATTAAATCATTAAATAGGCCGAAGTAAGTCTCTCCCGCCCTTTTCTATCTTTCATATCACCTTTATCGACACGATCATCTCTAGCATAATGCCAGCCACCGGAGTCCTTCAAATATTTATATGACATATATCAAGAATTTAGGGAAATTTATCTACATACCAAACAATTCTCATGTATTTATATATCTAACTGATGTAGGAGCTTCCCCGGGCAGCGATATTGTAGCTGCTATAGTATGTTGGTCTAGCTCTTGTCCATCTCCCCTTTCCTTTTTTGTCATTAAAGATATGTATGCTAGAGCTGTTACTTGTGTTCAAACTGAAGGAGGATTGACCAAATATTTTCCTATTTCTGTTGGATTATATCTGGGATCGGCTTTAAGCCAATATCTTTTTGCTTTAGTTATGGTTGGTCTTACTGGAAATCTACAGGAGGATGTACCTTGGTGTATGCTTTTTGCTGATGATATCCTTCTCTTGGATAAAACGAGAGAAAAAACTCTGGAAAAACATGATTTATGGAGGTCTACATTGGAGTCTAAAGGCATTTATTTAAGTAGAACTAAAATAGAATACATGGAATGTACTTTTAGTTGTAATAGCTCTAGTGATAGAAGTGTGACTTTGGGTGATCAAATTATTAAAATGTGTGAACGATTTAGATATCTTGGGTCCGTTGTTCAAAGCGATGGTGATATAGATGGGGATGTTAGTAGTAGAATTCAAGTTGGTTGGTTGAAGTTGATGAATGCTTCAGGCCTTTTGTGTGATAGAAAAGTACCGCTTAGACTGAAAGGAAAATTTTATAAGATGGTGGTGAGACCTGCAATGCTATATGGCGCTGAATGTTGGCCTTTAAAAGAGAAGCATAATAATAAGTTAAGTGTTGCCGATATGAGAATGATTAGGTGGATGAGTGGCTTTACATATAGAGACAAAATGCAAAATGAATATATCCGTGATAGGGTTGGTGTAGCTCCTGTGACGGACAAAATTAGAGAGATTCGTCTTAGATGGTTTGGTCACATTAAACGTCGACCATCTGATGATCCGATTAGGAGAGTAGATGTTTTAGATTCAACTTGTGTTAAGAAAGGCAGAGGTAGACCTAGGAAGACTTGGGCTTATTGTGTTAAAAATGATCTTAATTTACTAGAACTAAATGAAAATACGACACTAAATAGGACGCAATGGAGAAAAAGGATTCATGTAGCCGACCCCACGTAGTGGGATTAAGGCTTTGTTGTTGTTGTTGTTGTTGTATTCTTTTCTTCCTTTTCCATGATTCTCCTACTTTTTTTTCTACCTATTCTATGCCCTTTCCTTTCCTAAGCATTACCTATTTTATTTATAATCTCCTATTTTATTTATAAATTCCTATTTTATATATGTGCTATTGAGTACTTTAGGGTTCAAATTTGGATGAGTGTTGTCTTTGAGGCATTCTTCCCGTTCGGGGGTTGTACCCGAGGATGAGAAGGTGCTTCGACTGTAACTCGTCCGAGGTGGTGACCATGTCCAAGGGTCCGGGTGGTGCTTTGGCTGTAGCTCAACCGCGACGAGACATTTATCCTTCCGCAGCCCCTATGACCTCTCTTCTAACAGCTGCAAATCATCTTCTTTGTTGTTGTCTAGAACTGCATCCACCTTGTTGCTGCCCAGGCCTCCGACCTCTTCCCTGATGCCGCCAAGACCCTCCCTAATCAGCCCGGGCCTGTCCCTGCTTTTGTACAGCCACCGATGCCTGCCATAGCTGTTGTCCAGTCACCAACATCTTTCCCCGTTGCTGCCAGCCCCCTTGGACACCGGTGCCTGCTGCCGTCCATACCCCGCCATCGGTCTGCTACTGTCTCCGTGGCTCCCTCCTGTCACCCTTCAACGGTTACCAACCCGTTTCTAGCCACCACCCCGGCCACCCAATTCTTCTCCAGTGTCGTCCAACGCCTCCCACACCGTCTAAGTGTTGTTCAGTCCACTGCAAGCTCCTTCCAACTGCTGTCTGGTTCACTGCAACACCTTATAACCCCCCCACTCCCTCCCCCAAAATCTACCGCTCTCTTCCTTGATGACCATTTATGTATTTTGTGTTGCTTTATATCTTACATTTTTGTAGTGTCGTCTTGTCATTTTCTTTTGTGTGTTTGTTGTTGTTTATTTCATGTTTGCAAGCGTCTTGTTTGTACCCTTCTGAATTTCAGTAATAATAATAATTATTATTATTTTCATGTGATTTGTGCTTCCTTCGATATCATTTGGTATCAGAGCTAGTCAAACCTTAGTTCTATCCCAAGATCCCAAGCATCCGTCCTTATGCAAGCCACCCCCACCAAAATTTTTCTTCTCTCGAAGCTTTGATGAATAAGGTCAAAGCTCCCTCAACCCCGCTAGATTGACGCAGGAGCTTCCTGGGTCGCAACACTGTAGCTGCCACAGTGTCGCTGCCCAGTATCGCAGTCCAACGCTCCTTCCCTTTCCTTTTTTGTTTCCCTCCTTTCCTTCCTTTTCCAAGATTCTCCTACTTTATTTCCTATCTATTCTATGCATGCATTTTCTATTTCTTTCATTTCCTAAGCATTAACTGTTGAGTGCTTTAGGGTTAAGATTTGGATGAGTGCAAATTTTTGATTGTTGTCTTTTAGGCGTTCTTTCCCTCCAGGAGATGCACCTGACGACAAGAAGGTGCTCCAGCTATAACTCATCCAAGGTGGTGGCTATCTCCAAGGGTCTGGGTGGTGCTCTGGCTGTAGCTCAACCCCGCTAAGACATTTATCCTTCTGCAGCCCCTCTTCCAGCAGCCTCAAATCATCTCTCTGCTGTCATCCTGGCCTCTATCCACCTTCCTGCCACTGCCTAGGCCTCCGACCTCATCCTAGGCCTCCATCCACCCTACTAGCCTTTGCCACTGACAACCCCTCTCGGGCCTATCCTTGCTACTGTCCAACCACCGGTGCCTGTCACAGCTGCTGTACAGCCACCGGTGCCTATCTTCGTTGTTGTCCAGCCACCGACGCCTATCTTTGTTGTTATCCAACCCCCTTGGGCATCGAGGCCTATCTGCATTGTTGTCCGCTCCCCTTGGACACTAGTGCTTGCTGCCGTCTAGGCCCCGCCACCGGTTTGCTGCTACTCTAGGCCACTGCAACTCCCTTCTGCCACCCTTCATCTATGTTTTTTGTGTTGCTTTATATCTTTTATTTTCGCAATGTCGTCTTTTCCTTTCCTTTTGCATGTTTGTTGTCGTTTATTTTATGTTCGTAAGAATCTTATTTGTACCCTTTTAAATTTCAGTAATAATGATTATTAATTTCATGGTGGTTTGGGCTTCCTCCTTGGAAGGTATCACTAACGCCTAGAGTTTGATATTTACACTTACAACAACTTGGTATCATAAATGTTTTGCCTGAAAGGTATATTTCACATTTAAAATCGAGTGATGGTGGTATTTTTTATGTGATATTAAAGATTTGGGCTATTTTTTATGTGATATTAAAGATGATATTAAAGATTTGGGCGATATGCATATAAATATGAAATTTTACGTGTTAAATATTTAATAAAAATATAAGAATTGTGTTGCATGCATGTAAATGCCCCAAGAATTCATTACAGGTGATTTTACCATCTTAGCATATTTTCCTTTTCCTTGAACATAGCTTGAATTCTGTCCATGGACTGTACAAAAAATTATTCCAGCACCCAGGTCCTCAATTATGTGTGTGTTTTATTTAAGCGGAGCTTAACATAGTACTCAACGAAACTCCGTATTCTTCTATTCTAATGTGTGTGTGTGCGTTAAAATTAAGAATAATACGGAATTAAGAGAATTAAGAATAATACAGAATTAAGCGAATTTTTTTTATTGATATGACAGGGTGTATGAATAACCCTTACATTAATCCTAGAATAGGAAATACAATAAAAAAAACATAAAAAGGAAATATATAACACCTATTATCTCTAATAATCAATTCATATTAATTCTTTGGAGATAAAAGAAATAATATAAAATTAGAAAATCTGAAATAAGAATGAAAATAACTTCTAATCCAAAGAAATAAATATAAAATAGGAAATGAAATAACTCCTAATCTAAAGAGATAATTTATTCTTCATAGTTTCTCCCAGGAATAAATTATTTTCTAATATAACTTTTAACACTCTCCTTGGGTTGAAACATGGTTAAAAATCATGTTCAACTTGGATTTGAAAACATCAAACAATGGGCGAGGGGGATCCCGTGAAGTGCAGGGAAGTAGACAACTACGGTTGTCTTTAACTGCAGTTCCTGCAGTGTTTGTGGTAAGGTGGAAGGTTCCTACAGGTAATGCTGCAGGGGAGTTTGCAAAGAAGTAGGTAGTGTTTGTAGGTAGAAGTAGACTCTTACAGGTAGGGCTGTCAAAAAAGCTCGTTGTTCGCGAACAGTTCGTGTTCGGTTCGTCAATGAGTTCGTGTTCGATTCGTTCGATAAGTAAACGAGACAAACGCGAACAAATTTTTTTCGTTCGGTTAGTTAAACGAACCAAACACGAACAGTGATGCGTTCGTTCGTGTTCGAATCGTTATTGTTTGAAATATAAAATAATATAAAATAATTATATATAAAAAATTTATTATATTTTAAAACATTAAATTTTATAAATTATAATATATAATAAAATAATAATAATAATATATTAATATACTATAGCAGTAATATACTAATATAGATATTGAATATTTATATAATATAAGTTATATGTGTTCGGCTCGTTCGTTAAGAAACGAACACGAGCTTATTTCAAACAAACTAAATTTTAAACGAACCGAACACAAACACAAGCTTTGTTCGGTTCGTTTACACCCCTACTTACAGGTGATGCTACAGATGAATTTGTTGGGAAGTAGACAATTTGCAGTAAAAATTGACTTCTAGTTGACTGTGATTGTCTTTTATTGCAGTTCCTGCAGTGTCTGTAGGTAGACAGAAGACTCGTATAGGAAATGTTACAGGGGAGTTTGCATGGAAGTAAACAACCAACAAGAAAAAAACTATACGATATGTCCTTCGGAGGAGGGTCTACTGCAGTAAAGAATATTGTGGAAAGCTCCAGAGGAAGGGCTCGCTGCAGGAAAAGCTCCGGAGGAGGTGATGCATCAATGTCTACAGCTTTGTCAAATGCATTAAAGCACATCATGAATTCATGATGCGTCTAATCAAGGAACAACTAAAGAAATGGTTATCACATATGCAATTTCTTGGGTCTTTCTTTCGATTTGACAGGATAGTGATGCAACATCAGGAAAAAAACCTCCCACTGTGAAGAAAGAAGCCAAGGGTAACACAAAAAGAGGCACTGGCACTAAATAAAACGCTGCATTGACAGCATAGAAAGTTGGTTTGAGGTCATCATTGGACAGTTCTCCTGCCTGGTAATATATCCACCCAACTCTCTTACTACGCCATCATAGTACTACGGATAAGTCATCACCCCCAGAGCTCCCAGCATCGCAAGCCAAGGCGGTAAGATCGAGAGCGGCGAGAGTAGAGACGATTTGATCGCAATTGAAGTAAGAGTGACAACACCAAACAAGTCAATTAGGAAATCGGACTGCTGCAGGAACAGGTGCAAAAGAAAAAGACAGCGGGAAGAACCCATGCATGGTTTGTTGCGAGAGAATTTTGTCCGAGAAGATGGAAAACCTGTTGCGGCAGACGAGAGGTGCCTAACAATGAAGTCAACTTTGCCTACTAACCTGTAAAGCATCCCAAGCTTAAGCGCACAAACAACAATGGAAGCAGCGCCCGCAACATTGCACTACTCAACCTTTTTCCTATGTATCCATGCCCCCCCTCCCCGTCGTAGAACATTGCAACGAGAATGAAGAAAAAGACGGGGACATCGTCTGTGATGTACACGATGAGCCAGAGCGTCTTCAACAGAAGCGTCAGGTTGTGGGTGTCGTTATAAATTGCATGGCGGCATGCTTGCCAATTGGTGACATCAGCAGACATAATTAATATCGAGATGACGACGATGGAGAGATCGAGGACGACGACGACTTCAGGAAAGTAGGCATGATTCCTGTTGTCAGAATGCTTGTAGTTCACCAACAAATAGACATTGAAGAGCAGAACAAGTACGCATACTATCACTTCTACAATCACTAGCGCCAAGTTGAAATCCCCCATCGTTTCCCCTCAGAATTGCTGGATCTGGCTATCAATAGATCTCTCAGCCTTGTCGTGCTTCCTTTTCCCGCAAGATTTTTTTTCGTCTCCTTCTCGAGCGCTTTTCTCTTTCTCGCTCCTTCGATTCTATAGGGGAGGTGAAACCGATTCAATTTTGTTGCTTTACTCTTTCGGCGTTGATCGGCTTTGGAATGGGGAAACAGGGAATGTTGTTTGGGGTTCGAGGGGGAACCTGGGAGAGCATCGAGTGAAGGGTTTGCACACAGCCTGCGGGGAGAAAAAACATCACTCCCTTTCTGCAAAGAGAATGGTAGGTAAGGAGTACGACAACTCTGGAGGGAGGACCGAAGGCCAGGGTACGAAATTGGTGCTTATACCATGTTAAAATTAAGAATAATGTGGAATTAAGCGAAATTTTTTTAATCGATATCATAGTGGTATAAATAACCACCATTATATGAATCGTTGAATGATAAAGATAATAAAAAGAAATAACATGAAAATAAAAGATATAACACCTAATATATGTATATATGTATGTATGTATGTTGGCGGTAATGAAATTGTGAAATCTCACATCTGTATATTTTCATATAATCCCGTCATGATTTTATAACATAAAGATGTTTACTCTCTTCAAGTCTTAAACTAGTTTTAACTAGTAGCCAAATAATTCATGATTCTAGAACAGTGATAGAGACCTAGTATTGTTTTGAATTTCAGTAACATTTAAATGATATTGTTCATGAAAGAGTTACATTGAGCCGTAAGAAAGATTTAATCGAGCTTGTTCACGAGCTTTAAATGATACTGTTAATGGACATAAATGAACAAAACAACAAATTCTTCAAACTTGCTCAATTAATAATCAAGTACCTATGAAATTGTTCAAGCTCGTTCGATTAATTAATCAAACGTTCATGAATGAGCTTTAATTGTGCTGAGCCAGGAGTAGCTTGTCGAATGCTAGGTTCATTTATAGGCCTTACTAGAACATTGCTTGAGACCTAGTTTTGTTTTGAATTTCAGTTCCCTCTAATTGGTTTTCAGTTAATATTCTGTTATCTAACAAAACCTAAATAAAAACTCTTCCTCGAGGAAATCATGGCATATGCAATGTCTTTTTTTGTAAAAAAAAAAATTCAATGAAATATGGATTTCTTTCTATTTTTTTTTCTTTTTAAATTAACATTTGCAAATTTGTTCTTATTTTTAGGTGATCTTAGATTCACATCGTTGGGTTCCTCTTCCATCTGTTGGCTTTTCAACAAGTAGCGTCACTGAGGAAAGCCAGAATGCTGTGACTCCACCCTCTGTTTTGATGGAGCATCCTCCTCTTGCGGTTTTTGTCAATGGTAATTCCCATAATTGCAGCTACATATTTGTTTTAATTATTTTGGCACATTTTTTTTTAGTTTCTCCTTATCATGAGAATCATTTGATAGGGGCATTTACATAAATACCACCCAGTTCCTATAAATTTACATATCCAACACCTAAACTTTACATTTTACATTTATACCATCCAAATCTTTCATATCACATAAAAATAGCATCATTTTAACTTCTAAAAAATAAAATATACATTTTCATGCATAGCGAAGGTGGTATGTCTTTAAAAATTAAAATTTAGGTGTTAAATATGTAAATACATAGGACTTGATTGGTAGGTATGTAAATCTTCCTATTTTTTGTTGGCATCTATGAATCATGCATAAAAAGTTCTTGGTGATGTTAACTAACTTAGATAAATTACATCATATTGCCTTTTTTATATTATTCCCTGAATCTAAATGAGTTTCTTAAGCCCGAGTGATAATTTTTGTTGTGTTATTCAGATGATTAGCCCTCGGAGATGGCCCTTTTTCTATGGAATTTAATTTTTTTATGAGATCGGTAGGAATCTATTATTTTGTTAGGTTGGTGAATGATATGACATCACGATCTGACCCAAGATTTGGAATTAACAAAGGTGGGCACAGAAAATCAGATGATGGAAATTAAAATTTTATGTATTCATTTTTTTATGAATTTTACCAAATGAAAAAGTTACTAAAGAAAGTAAATTAAAACAATGCAATTAAATTTTTATCTCTACTAGTTGTTTTTGTTTTCTATAAATATATATTTTTTATTGCTTATCTTTTAATCAAATAATTTAAATCTACAACATTAAGCTAAACAAAGTTAGTGAATACTCATACTCATGAACTACAGTAACGTAAAAAAAAAAAGAATGATATGCATGCTAGTGTTGACCTCATTTTGAGGTCATTACTCTTTTCCTTAGGATCCTAGGATTTAGCTCTAGGGGTTCCTATTGACTTTCTTAGAAAACTAGTATTTGAATCCTTCCCCTTAGAAATTCCAGCCACTTCCTATTTCTCTTGTGATGTCTCGCATTGATGATCTCAAAACCATCGTCGTATGGTGGAGTGATTAAGGACTATCATGTGGAGACTCAAGGAGAAGCTCCCAATAGGATCTCAAGCCCTAGAAAAACCTCTTCAGGACTTTATCATCACACACACAAAAAATGCACAAAATTCACTAAGTTGCACAAAATCAGACTAAAATTGAGCTTAAAGGATGAGTAAAAATGCGAACTTCTCCGGACGACCTCCGACAAAAAAAATAAATTGCGTCAACGTGTTCGGGACACCAATTTTAGCAAGAAATGACACTCATATTGCCATAATTTTTACACACGAGAAAATTACACGCAAATCGATGAATTCGTCAAAATAACATTCGACAACGAAACGAACTGCGTCAGCGCGTTCGGAACGTCAGAATTACCTAAAAATTACATCCACTTTGTTATGATACGACGCATAAATAAAAATGTACAAATCAATTTTTATTTTTGAAATATTAAATATTTTTATATTTATATTATTAATTATAATAAGATTTATAATCCTAAACCCTACTTAATCCCTACTCGCGTGCGTGATCCTCATTCCATTCCGGTCGCGGCTCGCCCCCCTCTCGTGCCCTAAATCCCGTGACTCATCCACGCGACGATCTCCCCCCTCTCTCGACTCTTCTCCTTTCTCGTGTGGCCGCTTGACCGCCATGCTCTCCAATCTTGGGAGCTCGGCTGGCCAACTCTTCTTCTTCTCGAAACTTTACCTTTTCTTCCTTTATGGCGACGATTCCTTTCCCGTTACTTCATTCGACCACGGCACCGCGGTAGGTGCGGCCTTCTCTCCGTTCCTTGCATAAAAGCCCTATCTAGGGCACGATGGTGGGTTGTTAAAAATTTTGAGAGGAGAAGAGAGGATTTGGGGCATCTTTGATCGTGAATATTTGCTGTTGTATCTCTCGAGGCATTTTAGGAAATTTAGGCTTTTACATCAAGGTTCTTAAGAGAGGTTTTTGTTGATTTTATTTTCTTAAGGCTGGTTCTTGAGTTTGTTTTGAATCTACATTAAAAGGTATTCCTCTTCCTCTTTCTTTTTGCAAGCATTCAAAGGAGATATCTGGTTACCCTATTCTCATGCCTTGATTTTGATATGTTCATAATTTGTAAGAATATATGTTGGCAATTTTGTTCTGATGATTTCTTGCCTGGTGATATAAGTAATCTTTCTGATCTCTATCACTTGAAATTACTCTTGAATGCATGTTCTTTCTAATGCACCTGGAATTGGGAAATTAAGGCTACTTTAAGATTTATTTGAGCTTAACATTAAGAATGAGTATGGTTATAGGATTAATGAGCTGGAACATAATCCATGCGACTGACTGCCTTTTTGACTGCCTTTTTTTGCTCGAAATGCATGTTGGATGGAAATTTATTTTTCAAATTTATTAGGAGCCTATTTGGAGGTCTTAGTTTTGCTCTATGATGCTATTTACCTATTTAAAATACATGTTAAATGAAATGTTGGTTTGAGACTTCATTCTTAAGCTCTCTATTATTGTTACCCCTGTTCAAATATATGTTGGAATTCGTTTCGATGCTTTGGAATGTTGGTTGTAGGGACTCACTTGTTTTTCTCTGTTTCTTGTTACCTGTCGTTGTTCGAAGTATATGCTGGGTGCAAAATTTTGGGTTTTAAGACTTTGTGGAATCTGATTTTTGGTGGGCTTGGTTCAGTTGTATGGCTGCTTGGTTTTGGCCACTTGTAGGTCTTGGTTTTAACTTCTCATGGCTTCCCCTGTTCGAAGTATATGCTGGTGATTTTTTAATTTAATTTTGGGAGCTTTGAAAGCTTTGCTTTGGGGCCTTGTTTTGTTGTTTCTTTACTGTCTTCTCTATTCATAATACATTAAATAAAAAAAATATCTTTTTCTTAGCCTTCTGGGGCAGATTTTGGTGGTTTGGCTTTGGCCTTTGCTGTTGCTTTCTTGGTTTGATATGTATGAGCAGCTAAGCTTGATTTTATTTTAAGGTTTTGAGCTTTTGGCTTGGGGTTTGTGCTGTGGTTGGTTTGGGTTTGGCTTTCTTCTTGTTGTTCCTAGTCGTGACCCCCCTTTTGGTCGTGATTCCTTGTCTATGAATCCTTTGTGTTGAATTTGGGCTTGGCTTTCTCCTTACTGCCCCTGGCCGTGAGCCTTCTTCTGTGGCTCTTTTATGTTGAATATGGTTGGTTTGGGTTTGACTTTCTCCTTGCTGCCCCTGGCCGTGAGCCTCTCCTGTGGCTCTTTTATGTTGAATGTGGATGGTGGTTTTTCCTGTGCTGTTGTCCCTAGCTATGAGTCTTCTCCTATGGCACCTTTGTGTTGAATTTGGGCTTGGCTTTCTCCTTACTGCCCCTGGCTGTGAGCCTTGTCCTTTGGCTCTTTTATGTTGAAAGTGGATGGTGGTTTTTTCTGTGCTGCTGTCCCTAGTCGTGAACTATCTCCTGTGGCTCTTCTGTGTTGAATTTGGGCTTGACTTTCTCCTTGCTGCCTTTGGCCATGAGCCTTCCTGTTGTGATTCCTTGGTTTGTGTCGTGGTTAATTTGAACTTGAATTTCTCCTTGCTGCCCCTGGTCGTGAGCCTTCCTATTGTGGTTCCTTGGTTTGTGTCGTTGTTGGTTTGGGCTTGGCTCTCTCCTTGTTGCCCCTGGCCGTGAGCCTTCCTTTTGTGGTTCCTTGGTTTGTGTCGTTGTTGGTTTGGGCTTGGCTCTCTCCTTGTTGCCCCTGGCCGTGAGCCTTCTCCTGTGGCTCCTTTGTGATTGAGTGTGGTTGGTGGCTCCTTCTGCTGCTCCTACCCGAAAGCATCTGTTTGGGTCCCTCTATGTGGTGTTGGGTTCATATCTCATTGGAAACTTTTGATTTAAGGTGGAATTGAATTGCTTTAATGTTTGCAAGGTGAAATACTTCTATTCTTGTTACTTAAAGAATTCAAATGCTCTTTTTCCACAAGATGATCTTTTCGATGTTTGGGACAGCTTTGAGGCGTGTTTGCTACGGCTTCGAGCCACAGTTGGAGGCTTTATTTGGTATTATTTGGCTGCGGTTTTGGGGGGTTGGTAGTTGTTGTTTGAGGCTTTATTTGATAATGTTTAACCGCGATTTTTGGAGGTTTTTGTGCTGCAGTTTTTGAGCCTTTGAAGTATATTTTTGTAAGACATTTTGAGTTGCGATTTTGAGGCTATTAGCAGCGGCATTTTGATGTGACATGCAAGGTTTTGGAGTTTAGAAAATGGTCGTTTGAAAATTGCATCCCTTTTGTTTGGTTTATGAAATATGAAAGGCTCTTACAACTTCATTTCGGAAAATCATAAAGTTGATATGAATCAGATTCATGAATGATTTGAAAACTTATAAATTGTCATTCACGAAAGAGTTTTTTTTTTGGAAGTTTTACATTAAGGTTTGGATAACATAAATGTCAAATTTGAGTTTAGGCTTATGTGTGTGATTATGTAAGTGATGGTGGAGCCGTGTATACAATTGTCACATTAATTCGGGCCCGTTTCAACCTGTTCGAAACAAGAATTGGAAGGGATACCCTTCTTAGGTTGATCCATTTATGAAATTTGAGAAAATGATATCCTTCTTGGATTGATTCAAGGATCTTGGGCCTCAGATCTTTTCGTTACAAGTTTTAAGAGTTGATTTACTCTTCGTCTCTTCGATCTTTTGGGTGGATCTGTTCCTCCTCTCTCATCCTCATTTTTATTCTTTTTTTTTCTTGTTTCTTGGTTCAGTTTTCGATGCTTATGTCTGACACATAAGTGCCCATATGTAGTCTTTTGCTATATATAAAATTATCAAGCAAGGTTGTAAGTAGGTCGATTTTGTTTTTGGGGTTTATGGTAATGATGATAAATGGACGTCGGTGGTAGAGCAGAATGATATTTCATCCTACGACATCAGGACCCAATCATGGGATCTGATAAACTGTAGGATGACAGTATCATTCACCGACACAAGACTAGCAGGGGACACGTACCTTCTTAGGTTGTTGGCGGTCTTACGCTTGATGACGTAATCGACTCGTGGACAATCATAATTTTTCAAAACTGATGAGAACAGAACATGATAAGAGCAAATACAATATTTATAAAAAAAATATTTTACTAGAAAATCGATATAACTTCATTTGGTATGTCTGAAATTCATATGCATGCTAAAATATAAATTTTAAATATATCGTAATTTCTTTGTCCACTTGTCGATTATCAGAACCGGGCTAAGGAGTATCTTCCTAAGTTAGGTTTAGTAGGACACCCTGGACACCCTTCTAGGACGGACTCTATACATCCGGGTGACCGATAGTAGCATTCGACGTCCCTCGAGTACAAATATATAATATTTGAGTCTAGCCCCGACCCGAGTGCTTGCGGTTTTCTTTCTTCGGATTTTTTGTGAGATTTTATCGAAACTTTTGGTAAAGCACTCGTGGTTTTTTTCCGGTGTCTTTCCGTGTTTTCGGTGACCTTCTTTGAGTTACCAATTTTTTTTTTACTTCGAGCTTTTCGTCATGGGTCATTTACCGTTATTTCTTGAGTTTTCTAGGTGTTAGTTCTTTTGTTGATACAACGCATGCTAGTTCATTTCTTAAGATCTTGTTACTATATTTCTACCTGCTACTGCTACTTTTACACACTACACCTTAGAATTGGAGACCAATAATTGGTTTCATAGGATGTACCCGGCAGCAGAACGTTAACTAAACAATTACATGTACCTTTAAAATTAATATCGAATCTGAAGGTGCTATAACAGAGAGCTTGGAGGGAACACTGTGGGCAGCACGACGAGGACACACAAAAGAGCAACTTCGAGATGGATCTGCAACATCAAAACAAGTTTGTAGCAATTAAACATTTTTCTTAGTTTAAATAACAACTCATAGGACTTCGAGGTAGTTTGCTTAGTGCAACGTAAATCCTCACCTTTTCTTCAGGCTTTTGTACAACTCTGTTGTGCAATTATAAGTCCTAACACTTTTAGGATTTTGAGGTTACAGTACGGTACGGTGTAAATCCTCCCATCTTTTTAAGGTATTTGCACGATCAGATATCGTGCGAATGTAAGTCCTAAATTCTGAAATAAATTGCAGGATTAAACATTGAATAACATCATTTCAAAGACATAAAGTCAAACAATAGGATAGTTGGGAGGTCACCGGGGTTCTCCCTAGATTTTTGATATCTCCTACTCTTCGCTCTTTTGGATTCCTTAAAATAACTGCTCCTATTTGAGTCACTCCCGTTTAATTTTCCCGTGTCTAATCTTGGAAACCTAAGCTTTGGAATCTGGAAAGTAAAACCTCTGTTCTTAGTCGAGAGTTTTTTTAAGTGACTCGGTCTGAAATTAACTATAAGGGCTTGCCTCTATAGGGAACTTGGAACCCAGGTAAAATAAACCTTATCTAATTCTTATATTAGGTAAGGAAACTTGTCGACCATACATAAAAGGTTTTGCAGACCAAATGGATATCACAAATTTCTTAGTTTAGGTGGTTGAGCCTACTATTAAGTGGTATGTTTATCCTTCGAGATAGTTTATTACTTGTGGTATCGCTTTCAACTATCTAAACTATTTAATATGTGAGACTCGTTTGGTCTTATCTATTCTTAAATTAAAATGTTACTTTCAAAAATCATATTTATATTAAAATTATTTTCATGTTTTACAAAAATCATCTTTCTTTCCAAAATAACGGCCGACAACTAGTCGTAGATATTATAAATCAATATAGAAACAATTGACAATTTACTTTTCCATATATGATTTTTCATGATAGTTCATAATATTCAATGCATTTTACTTTATTAATAACATGTCTATAATATTTCATATATGTACACCCGTCACAATAAAATCGTCTAAAATTTTGTCAATTAAGACATCAACATCAATAACCATTTTCATTTATGTGTACAAATATCTTAGCGTTCTCTTATTAGTACCATAAACGGGTAAACTCTATCATAGTTAATCATGCACATGCAAACAATTAAAATAGTAAATCTTTTTTTTATTTTTTTCATAACTTTTAATACATAATATAATATATTAAATTATGCATTTGGTGGACATATACAAATATTACTGACATAAAATTCAATATGATCAAATGAACTTAAAGAGCAGATAAATCTTTTTTATTTTAATTTTGTAGTATAAAATTTATCTAAATAATTAAACTCTTGTTCAAAATGAAAGTTATTCTACTTCATCTCCCCCTTCCCGCCATACCACAATGCTCGTCTGATTCCAAGCATAACATTATTAACCCAATTCTTATAAAATAAATTTTCTTGAACTTAAATTATAAAGCCCTACCTCTATTCGGTCCTAAGCTACGCCTCCTCTTTTGCTCCTTCAGTTGGCTTGACTTATCACACGCAGAGTCACTCCTTCCTTATTCTCCTTTACATCAAAGCTACTCGATGCGTAATCTTTCTACATTAGGTAACATCCAATACAATCAAGCCGCTCACGATACTTCTTACCCGCAAGCGACTCTTTTTCCCTTCGGCTCCCATGTGTGCGGGATCGTCCAAGCAGCAAGTTTGACGCTCTCATTAACGTCGCCTTCCTTCTATGCACTCTTTGGCATGGCAAAGCACAAGCTTGCACGCGACGTTGATCTTCCTGCCTTCGTACGTGTCAATCAGCTCCTCAAGTAAATTGTTCATGATGGGAGTCAATGTCTACTACCTTCGGCTTTGTCCTTCATAGGCGAGCGCTCCTCTTCCTTCTTCTCTTGCACAACACAACTCCTTCGATGAGCCCTAGGTTGCCTCTCTGATTTCTCTCTTTATTTTTATTTTCGTATCACACTTCTGTTTTTCTCGCTTCTTTGGTTTGAAAGGAGAGCCTCTACCAATAACGAAACTGTTATAACGGAAACGAACCCTTGACGTTGTTTTGATGTTTATTTATTAATTATTATTATTATTGTTATATATAATGCAGAAGTCTTTCATATTTTGTTTTAGAAGGATTTACAGACATACCTCTTAACTCCTATGTATTTACATATCTAACACCCAAACTTTAATTTTTACACGCATAAATATTCCACCTTGATATACATGAAAAAGATGTATTTCATTTTTTTTAAGTTAAAATGATGGTATTTTTAATGTGATATGATTATATGAAAGATTTAGGTGGTATAAATGTGAAAAGTAAAATTCAGGTGCTAGATATATAAGTACATAGAATTTTGGTGGTGTCTATTACTTATATGACCAACTCAAATGCTTATTTTCTCATTCCTTTCTTTGATTTGTCTATTACAGGCGTTTCAGCCGCCATGAATGACCTGAGGCCCTGCGCTCCACTGAGTCTGAAACATCTATTAGCTCAAGAGCTTGTTAATGGCCTACAGGCTGTTTCTAACTCTCTAATTCATTATAACTCCGTCCGAGTGCTCCGGGGAAACGAATCGTCTCTTTTCCTTTCACTCTGTCAAGCTTTTGTCGAGGTTTCTTATACATTCTCCTAACACTTAGAATTTTAACTTCACATCAAAAATATCAACTGAAATACTCCTTTTCATGTATAGGTAGTATCATCTTCATAAATATCAAATCTAGGTGGTAGATATCTAATATATATATACATATATATATATATTGATCTGTGTTGGAGCACACCCATAAAATCAATATTTATTGTGGGGGATTTATGCACATACCACACACTTCTTATTTATTTAGATATCCTGCACCTAAAAATCTTACATACCTAGCACACAATTCTTATGTATTTATATATGTCACACCTATACTTTCATATTTACATACATAGCGCTTTTCTGCTTTAAACTTTTGCATGAAATGATGTATTTCTCTTTTAAAAAGTGATAATAGTGCTATTTTTAATGTGATATTAAAGAACTAAGTGTTATGTGCGTAAATATGAAAGTTTAGGTGTGAAATATGTAAATACATTATAATTGTGTGCTATGTATGTAAACCCCCCATTCTACTATTTGAATATACGGCACTTAGAACATTAGCTTCACATAAAAAAATATTTCTACTGCTAACTTTTTCAAATTGAAACTCATATATTGTTCCACATAAATATCAAATTTTAGGGGTTATACATGTAATATATATGTATATATATATTTGATGCTTCTACAGGTGGCTTGTCCCTATTGCGCAACTTGCTTCGGTCGCTGCTATCCCAATGGAACTGCGCTCATTACAGAAAGAAGGGGCTCATTCGATGGTGTAAGCCAACTCTTAACGGTCTCCTCCAACAGAGGATTTAAAAAATCCTCAGATAATGTTGAAACGATCAAAGCTGCTGAAAATGGCGATGCAATGATGGAAGAAAAGTCAGCCATTGTTGATGGCGAAGCTCTGAATAATTCAAATTTTGATCAGAGCGGCACCGAAACAATGCCCGAATCTCAAAGCAGTTCATGAAACAAGATGCTACAAGTTTCTATTGGTAAGCTGTTTTCTGCAATTATTACTTTTGTTGTTTTTAACTTTGCAAATTCTTATTTTTATATATTTGCTTAACTGACACCTAAACGTTCATATTTACACGCATACCACTCAAATCTTTTAACATACGTCAAAAGCATCGCAATCACTATTATTTAAAAATGAAATGCAGTTCTTCATGCTTGAGTTCATGACACCATGATTTTGTGTAAAAATCAAACTTTGGCTGTTAGATATGTGAATGCATGAGAATCATTTTGGTATTTTTGTAATTTTATCTTTTTTTTGTTAAATATATCTATTTTATGTGGCTTAATTAAAGTGAGAAAACTAGATATTTATATTAACACAAATGTCAAAAAAACGGTTAAGTACTGTATCCTTACATTGACTATAAGTTGAAAGAAAAATCACTTTGAATCTGACGGTTTTGTCTTTTTAGAGTGAAGTATTACTCATTTACTCTAGTGCAACATTATTAGAGCATTTACATATATACCACAGTTTTTATTTATTTATATATCTAACACCTTTTTTTTATATATATATATCTTTATAGCACTCAAATCCTTCGCTATTATTAACTTTTAAGAATTGGAACGCATCCTTTTAGGCATGGTTAAAAGTTTTGAAGATGTAAAATTAGTTTCGGGCATGTAAATACATGATTATTGTGTTATATGAATGTAAATCTTCCAACATTATCATGCAGGAAGACCTAGGATTGTCAAAAAACTTGTGTTCGGCTCGTTCGTTAAGTAAACGAGCCGAAAACGAACAAGTTTTTAAAGCTCGAGTTATAAACGATCTGAACATGAACAATTCTTTCTTCGCTTGTGTTCGGCTCGTTTTAGCTAAAAAAAAATTATATAATTATTTATGCAATAATATATTATATATATTTATATCTAAGTTTAAATCGTAATAGCTTACGTGGTAATCTGGTTATGTGCATTTTTATTTTTATATATTTGGTTCAGGTTTGAATCTAACATTTTACATCTATTTTTTTTTCAATTTAATTTTAACAAGTCAAATTCGAGTCGAACACAAACACACTGTTCATGAGCCTATTTCGAACACGAGCTGTTTTTGAACAAAAGCAGTTTCGAACTAGTCGAACACGAGCCAAGTTTGAGCTCGCTCAAGCTCGGCTCGCTTGCTGCCCTAGTAAGACATGCGGGAAATGTATCCAGGAGCTCTGGCTAAAATGTTATGTTTCTGATTTTAATGATCATATGTTGGGGTTTGATCAATAATTCAAGGGGGATTTACATGACATGCCACATAATTCTTATATGTTTATATTTCTAAACAATCGAACATTAATACTTGTTTGGAGCCTTTACATACCTACAACCTAATATGTATTACATGTTAAATCATCTAAACTTAATTTTTTTTACGTACAAACCACGTAATTCTTATGTTTTCTGCATAGGTTAAGAATTGAAGTGTAATAAGGTCAGAGATATGTTAATAAATAAGGAATTGGGTGGTAGGTAGGGCTGTCAAAAAGGCTCGTTGTTTGCGAACAGCTCGTGTTTGACTCGTTAAGAAGCTCGTGCACGGCTCGTTAATTTTGTTTGATAAGTTAACGAGTCGAACACGAACTAAGATGTGTTAGTTCGTGTTCGGCTCGTTTTGACTCAAAATACTACTCATTAAGTTTATATATTAAGTAGTATTTTAAGAAAATCTAATTGACTACAAGGCTACAAATATTTATAACCAATTAAAATATTGATTAAGAAAATATAATAAAAAATTATTAAATTAGATTCAAATGCTGTTTTATTATAAATAATAGTTTTTAAAATCTTGCTCAAACCCTTATTGTCTTATGACTATATGATTAAGGGTGTTAAAAGGACTCTTTGTTCGTGAACAGCTCGAGCCGAATACGAACACACTTTTTGAGCTCGAAATATAAACGAGCCGAACACGAGATGAGCATGGCTCCCCTGTGGTTGGCTCGTTTACACCCCTAGTGGTAGGTATGTAAATCTCCCTTTTTGTTTATATAATATCAAAATTTTTAGTATCAGTTTAAAAATGGCACTAATTTTAATATTTTTAAAAGAAAATATTTTAATTCATATATTTTATTTTAATGGTGACACTAAAATCTTATATAAATATCATGAAAATTATGATATTTATGTAAATTCCTCTATTTTAAGTCTGATTTTTATTTGTCTTTTTGCAGGAATTCAATTTGTAATTAGGCTTGTGTATTTTTTTTTTTCCTTTCTTGCACCTATAATTGACTTATTTTTAATTAAATATTTGAATAAGTTTAATCTCAGAGAAACTCAAGATGCATAGGTTGTTTGATGCCATTTAATTATTATTGTTTTTTGTAATATGAAAGGTTTGGATGGTATAAATGTAAGAAGTAAAATTGAGTTGTTAGCTACGCAAGTACATAGGAATTGGGTGGTATTTATGTAAATGAAGTGTTACACAATTCTATCTATTAATGCATCTAATTAGTTTGAGTTAAGATTGACTTAGGACTCGTTTGAGGCGGCGGTGCACTGGCGGTGCAGCATCGCACCACAGTTTTCTTTGTTGGGATAAACTGTGTTATGGTAGTTTTTTCAAAAAGCTGTTGCTGAAATTGTGTTTTCTCATCAGTCCTGGTTAGGTGCTGTGAAAGTTTTCTAACTGCGGTCTGATTTTTTTTTTTTAATGCTTTGTAATAATTACCACAGTTGTTTGAGTATCAAATTATTATTTAGCTGCTTCATAGTTGTTTTTTAATAAACTGCAGCTGTCCCAGACAGCCCCTTAAGCTTGGTTTGTTAGTTCATTGATCTCAGCTCTCGAGCCATATATTGAGCACATGTCGGGCTAGCTCACTAAGTCGACTTGGTTTAGTTAATTTGCTAATCATTAGAATTTTTGTGAATTTTTTTTTATATAATTTAGAGGCATTATTGATTCAATATTTGAATAAATTATCATTATTCTTTTTTGAAATTAATCAAATATAGAAAATAATAAAGCTAAAGTTTAAAAATTCAAAAAAAATTGTTATAGAATAATTAAAAATTATATTTTAACACCAAAAAACAAAAACATTAAATAATTTTCTATTATAAAATCCAATACACAGCATCAAAATCCTAATGGGCTATTTTGTTGCCAATAGACTTAACTCTTGTTGGTTTTAGTAAAATTCAAATTAATTATTTTAATAAATTATAATTTAGCTAAATTTTGTAAATTATTTGGTTTAATAGAGATTAAATTCAATTAACTATTTATAAATTAGGTCACTATTTGTTTTAAAATGTAAGTACTTTGTTTAGTTAAGATTTTAATATTATTTAATATTGTAATTATGAACGTTTTAGTTTAATTTAATGATTTATTTTTATGTTAATCTTTAAATAATAATTAACTCGGTAGTTAATTAATCAAGGAATAAAATTCTATTAACTAATAAATCACTAATTTATTTACTAATGATGTATTTATATATCTAATAAACTTTAATTTTTACATGTATTTATGTAATTATCTATCCATGAAAAGTACATGTTAGTTTTTAAAAGTCAAAAAAAAAATTTTCTTGTTTTTTTGATCTAATATGAATGATTGTGAATGGTATGGACTTAAAAATCAAAATTTAGGTGTTACATTTATAAATATGTAAGGGTTAAGCAATTTATATGTAAATGCGAAAAAATATTACGTTAGAAGTCATGCTGCAGAGTTGCATCACAACTCTAATGAAATTGTGTCATGTTACACGAGGGACCCACTAAATAAAAGAAAAATCTTTATTTTTAATTTGTGGTCCGCCGCTTGCGAACACGTGGCGTAATTTCGTTGAAGTCATGATGCATTTCTACATTAGGACTCTTTATTCTGTATTTTTCCTGTAAATGCCCCTTTCTTGTCCCTTTTTTTTTTTAATTTGAATTATTTATTTTAGATGTCAATGTCAGGGATTAAAAAATAAGATTGAAATGATTTTATGTGTTTTATTTGATGATTGGATCTGATTGAAATTGATGTTGTTTCAAGGAGAATAATTTCTAAAATTAAAAAAAAAACATTGTTTACACACAACATGAACACTGCTGAATTTGCCGCTTGCTAACACTTTGAATTTTTCTTTTATCAATAGAAGACCCGGAAAATTTTGATTCATATTAAAGTTCATGCTTATGGTCAAATTGACAGGCTATAAATTGACCGGCGAGGGGAACCTAATGATGCTAAAATTGATCTAATTTGAGTCAAATCAATTTATTTGGTGGACTTTACGGTGTAATGAAGTACTATGATGAGTGATGATGCAGCTTGCAGAGTAATGAAGTATAATGAATTGTAACAACACATATTGTGGAGTAAAGAAGTATTATATTGAGTGAAGGAGTCTCAAAGTAATGTAATATTCTAAATACTTCACTCTAATGTACTCCGAAAGCAGCGTACTAAAGACCGAGTGATAACTTCTAGCCTCATCTGTTTTCGATCGTTGTGCAATAAATCATTTGAAATATGAATATTTTACTTAGAGAAATCTGGTACCCCTTTTTAGGTTATGAGATAAGGGTTTATTTTCTTATTTAAGAGCTTATGATTGTTCGTATTTAAGTTTATATGTTTAATTAAATAAATGATCATAAATGAATTCTAAACAAGTAGAGCAATGAGTAGCTCATCATCTTTTAACTATCATCATCTGATAACTTCAATCATCCTCTACTATTACTTCACAAAATTCTAGGGTATATAAGTAAAAAATCAAAGTTTTTGGGGTTTGATATGTAAATGCAGAGGCATGGAGGGGTACATAAATAAATCTTCCAAAAATTTTAATATAAATGTGACAAAAACCAAATTGTGTTTCGAACTTGTTGGTATTCATCTTTCTCAGGTGGAGAAATATTTGCGTACGTAAGACGTACACATACTTGTGTACATATTAGGTTATTAGGAGGGTACATGTAGTTTACACTTAGTTTATATCATTTGTAGTTCTTCCTGTAACTTAAGTGTTGAGATAACCTACATGTATCCTCCGAATAACTTAATATGTACACAACTCTACGTACGTCTTATATATGCAAATATTTCTCTCTCAGGTGAGTGGAAAAGTAGAGTTCTTTAATATTATTTACTTAACGACTCATTGCAATTGTATTATAATTTTTTTTGTTTAAAAGTTTTGCAAATAAAAAATTTTGGATATTTGTGTAAAATTTTTGTTTTATTCATTCGTGCATTAAATTTCTTCATATATTATTATGAATATTCCACCTTGAGACAAGTGTGATCTAATTCCTTCATATATTATACTCATGTTAAAATAAAATCTTATTGCTATTTTTTTACATAATTATAAATTTTTCATATTCTCATAACCACACAAAATAATTTAATTTACAATATCTTTATTTTTTTAATCATATAAAAATATTAATAATGTAATTTAGCTAGAGTAAAATATATACTATGTTGACATGCAGAGGCTGACTAAGGGAAGTCATTCTTTTCTTCTCAATTAAGATGTCAAAACAGCTCGTTGTTCGTAAATAACTCGTGTTTAGTTCTTTTAGTGGCTTGTGTTCGATTTGTTCTCTAAATAAACGAGCCGAATACAAACAAAATTTAAAATGAGTGCAAGGCTACAAAATTTATAATCAAGTAAAACTATTAATTAAAAACTTGAGGAAATATTTGTTAAATTCTATTTAAATGAAAATTTTAATATAAATAAGAAGATTTAAATGTCGCCCGTACCCTTAACATTCTATGGTTGCATGACTAGAGCTATCAAAATGGTTCGTTGTTTGCGAACAGCTGATATTTAGCTTGCTAAGCAAACTAGTTGAATGAGAAAAAAAATTTTGAGTTCAATATATAAACGATCGGAACATAAACAGTGGTATTTTTTAATGAGCCCAATTCAACTTGAGTCTGAGCTTGCTCATGTTCGGCTCATTTGCACCCCTACCCCTAATGACCCCGCAATCAAGCATCACGACCAACCCAGTATAGATGGCTGGTCTGTCCTCCAACCGACCCGACCTGGATGATTTGCCCAATTTACCCAATTGAGCTAACCATCCTGACTTGAAGCCAATTAAGCTTAGCCAGCCAAGCAAGAAAGCTATTAGAAGACAAGCTAATACATGTTAAATGCTGTAAATACCCCAGTATAGACCCCCTATAAAGTAAGGAGGAAAATATAATATAATCATTATGTACTTTCTCATTTATAAATAAAAGATCATGTGAAGAATTAAACACAATTGATAAAAAAAAATAAAAATTTTTAATAGCCACCGCATCTAACTTATCAGCAGGTTGTTTTTAATCAACTTATCAGCAGATTATTGAATAAGCTACAGCTCCTCCTCTATGACCCTCAGGTAATTTACACAAGGAAAATAAGTATCCACATAAATAAATGATAGTTTTGTGCTTTGTTTGTAAGTGCTCCAATAAATTTAGAAGTATAGACAAAAATAATTAGTGACACATCCCATTTTTCTATTTTAATTTACATCTCCTGCAGCCGACGTGTCGGCCATGGGCCAATAAAACTCCTCTTTTTCGTACTGGCCCCACACGGGAAACTAATTGCTGTTCGGTGCACCATGTGGGCCCGCTTTAAAACGTTGGGTGCCAATCACCAAACAGCCGTCAGGACACTATTCATTCGACACGCGTCCATCTTCTCCTCCTTCCACCTCTTCTCTCTTCTCTCTTCCCCACCCCACACCGCGGGAGAGAAGTTCTCCGCGGTGAGTTCTTTAGGGTTTCTCCTAACTTCGCATTAATTGTCCCCTTTCTGGGTCGAATTTTGTCTTTTTTTCCCCTTCCAGTAGTGGATCGAAGCACCTCCCTCTGCAAAAAGAGTTCTCTTTCTTGTAATTTCTGCCATCAATTTTACCTGTTTATGAGAGGGATTGGAGAATGCTATTTAGGGTTTTCTTTTATGTTAGAGGTCGTGATAGATTCCTTGAGATCCAGGGAACTCGGAGTAGAAAGGCTACCCATTTAGGTATTTAGGTGTGTTTTCCTGTGATTTCTATATACTTCACTTTCCCAGGTGCATCGACCCTCGTCCACTAACCGCTCCGCGCTTTCTTCTTTCTCAGGATAAGAGTTTGTAGATTTCAAAACTAGGGTTTTGATTGACTTGGTGTGCCATTTAAATTAGATCCGACGCTTCTTCTCTGAGTTTGAACAGTGCCCGTGGTCACTCGGTAATCTCCTATTTCTAGACCCGTTGATTCATCTTCTTCTACCTGATAGCTAGGATCTTGGAAACTTCCATAAACGGGCCGATTTTTAAGGGATCCCGTGAACCGTGGCCGGCGCAGTTCCAGAGCGATGAAGAAAGCGCGGAGGATGCTTCCGGTGAGACCAAGATACGATTTTTATCCATGAATTTTGATAACGACGGCTCCTGTAGCCCTATTGCTCGTACAGACACAGCGCACGCTGCTGCCCGCACCGCGACGACAGCTCTGGAGGTGGAGGAGGAGTCTATGGAGGATGGATCCACGGCTGTTGCTCTGCCATTTCGGTTAGGCAACTCGCTCTGTGAGAACCGACCAATGGAGGTCACGCGGCTTAAGCTGATAACTGATACGGCCGGCGGGGTTTCCAGCTCGAACCCTCTGATGCAGCTATGGTGGAGGAAACCGAGGGTGGTAATTTGATATCTGCCGGGCCGGATTCTGAGATGTTGGGAGCTGTGGCTCCTGGCAGCGATGAAGACGACGATGCAGCTTCCGTTGGGCCGGAACCATCGATTGCCAGTGATACCAGCAGCATCGCCGGCGCTTTGGATGACTTAGGAAACTTCGATCTGGGTTTTGAGTTCGGTCTGCCTAACTCCATGGATGCGGATGCTGCAAAGACTTTTGAGATCTTAGCTGCTCCTGTGGTTGAGGAATTGAGTGTTGATGGTTTGGGTATTGGTGTGGAATATGATCAGATGAAGCCTCTAACTTCTGTTGATCAGATGGAGCTTCAGAGCGCAAGGGCTGCTGGGCTGAGACGCCTGTTTCTGAAAGAATGTGTACCGCTTTGGGGCTGGATCTCCATCTGTGGGAGGAGACCAGAAATGGAAGATGCATTTAAGGCTGCTCCTAGATTCTACGATATCCCACTCTGGATGTTGATAGGTGATTGTGCCATGGATGGGCTTTCTCCGAGTAAAATTAGTTTGCCTTCCCATTTCTTTGGAGTCTATGACGGCCATGGTGGCGTACAGGTACAAAGGTTTTGGAAAAGATGGCATTTTTACTGAATTACAGTATGCTGACTTTGGATTGGTGTGCTTGCTTGCAGGTCGCCAATTACTGCCAGGAAAGGATCCATCTTGCTTTGGCGGATAAATTAGCTCGTTCCAAGGAAGGTTTGGAAGGGATTGATTGGCAGAAGCAGTGGGAGAGAGCTTTCAGTGATTGTTTCACAAAGATTGATGATGAAGTTGGGGGGAAGGTTAGCAGGGTGTGTTTAGAAAGCTCATCTGAAGGTGGTGGTGGAAGAGGCAGTCTTGGTTTTAGCACCACATCCGATCCCGTTGCACCGGAAACTGTTGGTTCTACCGCTGTCGTTTCCATTATCTGTTCCTCGCATATAATTGTTGCTAATTGTGGTGACTCGAGGGCTGTTCTTTGTAGGGGAAAACAAGCCATGCCTCTATCAGTGGATCATAAAGTATGACTACAATTTCTCTAAAGTTCACTTTTTACATTTATACTACCCAATTCTTTCATACCACATAAAAAGGATTGCCATTTTAACTTTTAAAATGTGGAAGTTGGCATGCATATATGCAATAATTAAAGTTTGGATTTTTGATGTGTAAATACATAGGAATTGAGTGGTATGTATGTAAATCTTCCTATTTACATTTTTGTTATGCTTCAGCCCAATAGGGAAGATGAATATGCACGGATTGAAGCCGCAGGAGGCAAAGTCATTCAGTGGAATGGATATCGTGTATTTGGTGTTCTTGCAATGTCTAGGTCAATTGGTATGTATATTATTATTGGGAATTAGAAGTTCAACTATGATTGCAATTTCAGTTTATTTTCTTTGTTTGCCTTCGAAAAATGAAAAAAATAAAAACTAATGCCATTGAGGTGTTGATACTTCTGACTGTTGAGATTTGCTTTTGCATGACTGAAAGATTCATTGTTTTGAGTGCAAGTTCATGTTTCATATGACTGCTATGTGCTCACTTCTTCCATTAGCTTTTGGAGGAGGAAGCAGAATGTTTTTTTAAATGGAACATTTACGTACATATCACTAAATTTCTAATTGGATTTGTCCTCTTCTACTAGAGAGTTACATTTTTTTTTAATTCAATCATGTATTAGTCACTTTTTTTTTACTAGGCTTAATGTTTAGACATTTTGCGTTCTTCTTTTTATGGTATTAGACTTGTTTTCTTTGTTTTAGCATCACGAGTAATAGAATATGATTTGTTCGACATTAGTTTTTTCTATTATCAACCGTCACACTTATTAACTCTTTTAGAATGTCCCCAATTCTCTTTAAATTTTGACCATCAAGGAGTATCCAACGCAATTTAATTATTATTTTGTATGTATCTAGTCCACTTGATGCATTCATACAATATTTTAAAACCAAAGCTCTCTAATAAATTGAAGAAATCAACTTGTTGGATGAAATTTATTTTTTTTTCATCAAGCAATGTGTCTTAGTTCTTCCTGCAATTAATTGGTCATGTTGTTTTATACCATGGTTCCTCTAGCACTCTTAATTTTTCAATGCACAAAATATTGGAATTCACTTGCGCCTTCAAATGTATTGTTGAAACAACATATTGTGCCTATTTCTTTATACTTTTAAGGGTTTGAAATGCCAATATTTTTGGCGTTCACTTATTCTATGTGCGTAAGGCTGTCAAAAAAGTTTGTTGTTCGCGAACAGTTCGTGTTTGGTTCGTCAATGAGTTCGTGTTCGACTCGTTTGATAAGTAAACGAGACGAACGTGAACAAATTTTTTTCGTTCGGTTAGTTAAACGAACAAAACACAAACAGTGATGCGTTCGTTCGTGTTCGAATCGTTATTGTTCGAAATATAAATTAATTTAAAATAATTATATATACATATATATATATATATAATTTATGATATTTTAAAAAAATAAATTTTATAAATTATAATATATAATAAATTAATAATAATAATTTATTAATATACTATGTTAGTAATATACTAATATAGATATTATATATTTATATAATATAAGTTATATAATTAATATAATATATTATTTATATATATTAATATTAGGGATGTCAAACTGGCTCGTCGTTCGCGAATAGCTTGTGTTCGGCTTTTTCAAACACGAACAGTGACTTCACGAACAATTTCGAACACGAGCTTATTTCAAACAAATTAAATTTCAAACGAACCGAACATGAACACAAGCTTTGTTCGTTCGTGTTCGGTTCGTTTACACCCCTATATGTGCGTATTGATTGATAAGTTTCTCAACAAGACTATATGTTAGTAAGTTGAGATAGGATTTTATAGGCCAAAGTGACAATACCCATTCCTACACTTTATAACTACATTGTGAGGAGAAAACAAGAATTTTTTTTTGTTCGTCATAATATTTTTCCTTAGCTTTATTTTGGCTATTTGTGTTTTTTTTTTTTTTTTGAATCATGTTCCTGATCATCATTATTGAGTGCCATATGAGTTTTTACTCTACTATGGAAAGTCTTATGTGAGATGTGAGTCTTTTTGTAATGAAAGGCTTGCATTTTACCTTGGATAGGAGGTCTTAAAAGCATAATTGGTTTTTCTTTTCATAGGAGTTGTTCTTTTTAATCAAAGAGTCATGGGGCTATCACGTTGTTTTCTATCCTTAGATATTTTGCTATCACTTCTTTTTAAGGTACTAGAGTTCCATTATTTTTGCGTTAATGTCATGGGCATAGAAATACAGTGTGTTTGAATGCATGTTTTCTATCACTGTTCTTCTCAGTATTTAGCTCTTTCATAATTGCTTCCTAACCCTCTTTAAACTACTTCTATCAAAGAACATCTAATATAATGTAATTATTATTTTATATTTATTTATACACCAGAGGTAATCACACGCTCTTTCCAAAACCAAAATTCTCTACTAAAGTAAAGAAATCACATTGTTGGTTGAAGATTGATGCTTTATCATCAATCAATGTGTCTTAGTTCATTTTACAATCAATTGCTTATGTTTTTCAGACCTTTTATCCATCCTCTAGTATATTTTCAATTCTTCATTGTATAAATTATTAATAGTTCAAGTGACTTGTGCCATTAATTGTAATATGTTTTTTTATTTTTTGCCTCAACTAATATGATGAAATCAATACATCATAATACCCCTTTTTTATATATTTTCAAGAGTTTGAAATGTCAATGTTTTTTACATTGTTTTCTTTGAGATGCATCGGCCTTGGTCCGAAGTGAAAATGCCTAATACTGCATGCTCTTATATATTGCTACATAATTTTAAGGATTTGAAATTTCTAAATTTTAATATTATTTTCTTCGAGACGTGGGAATTGTCACATACACTATGCATACATCAATAGCCTTATCTATGGGATTAATTGTGTTATTAAGTTTGGCAATGATTGGTTTGACCAACATGATGATAGTTGGTCCTACCTATATTTTTTTAATTACATGGTGATGCATAAATAAGAAGTTTTTTTTATTAATCATTTATGCCAGATTTATGAATCCTTCTCCTCCATTCACCTTTGTTGAGTGGTGGATAAGTTTTGACTCTGTTATGAGAAGTTTTGACTCTTTTATGATAAGATTTGACTCTGTTATGAAAAGTTTTGACTTTGTTGTAATAAGTTTTGACTGTGTTATGAGAAGTATTATGTGGCAACCAAAAATTTGCATGTTGCACCTTATCCAAAGCAAATTTTCATTGTGGATAGGCTAAGTGAACGAGAAAGTGTAGAGAGTAGAAGGCAAATAAAGGTTTTATGGAAAGAGAATTCAACTCAAATTACTTAGAAAAACTGTGAGAGACATGTATTGTAATTCTTAATTTCTCTTCAGCCTGCTTGTCCATAATAAATAGTAAGATTTACATACATGCCACTCAATTTCAATGTATTTACGTATCTAACACTTTAGATTCAATTTACATATACGCTAACTTACCTATGCATGAAAAGGTTTATGTCTCTTTTTCAAAGTTAAAATAGTGGGTACTTATTATTTGATATGAAAGATTTGGGAGATATAAATGTAAAATGTAAAGTTTACATGTTGGATATGCAAATAGATAGGAATTGGGTGGTTTGTATGTAAAAATGCCCCTAATTAATATTAGTATAGGAACTCACATGGGAAGTTAAAATTTATGTTAAGTTACAATTTATCAAACAGTAATAGCCATATATTCTATTCACCCTTTTCTTATAGTTATGTACCCTTTGATATGTTAAATGAGCATGATTTCACAAAATTAGATGAAGGCAAAAGAGGGGAATAGCTAATTGTAAATCACCAAGGCATCTAAAGAAAAATTAGGCTCAGTTCACATTAAAAAATTTGCTCATTACGTTTGTACTACCCAAATCTTTCATATCACATCAAAAATACTATCATTTTTACTTTTAAACGTCAAATACACCTCTCCATGCATAAGTAAGGTGTTATGTAAATATTGAAGCTTAGGTGTTAGACATGTAAATGCATATGAATTGAGTGATATGTATGTAAATCTTTCTTTAGTTTTTCATGTTAACCAATAGCCAACATCATCATGAAAGAATTCGATAAAATGGCAAAACCCTTTTTATTATAGAATGAAACTAAATTAAGTATTATTCTATAAGCAATTATAGTGATTTGCTAAATAACAATGATATGATGCTTTATATTGTTGATTTGCTCAGTCATTTCCTCTCGCGAAGAAGTGCTTTACAAGATTAGTGCTTTAATTGATAAGGGGCATTTACATACAAACCACATAATTCTTATGTATTTACATATCTAACACCTAAACTCTCATATTTACATGCATATCACTTAAATCTTTAAACATTGCATGAAAAAGGACCATCACTATCTTTTTAAAAGTGAAATACATTTTTTCATGCGTAGATTTATGGAACAAAAGTGCCATAAAAGAACTTTGGGTGTTGGATATGTTAATGCATAAAAACATAATCTCCTTCATGAAATTCACATAAGTTTTAAGTGGCATTTACATACATTCCACTTAATTCTTATGTATTTAAATACCTAACACCTAAAGTTCAATTTTTACAAATATTCCACCTCACCTGTGCATGGGAAGGTGCATTTCATTATTTAGAAGTTAAAAATAGTGGCATTTTTGATATGATATGAAAGATTTGGGTGGTATAAATGTTAAAAAAAACAAAGTTTAGGTTTTAGACATATAACAACATTAAAAGTGTGTGCTATGCATGTAAATGCCCTAAACTAGCATTTAATGATAGCTTATCTTATTTTCAATTTTTGAAGCAAGATGATTTATTATATAGGCAGGCAATTTATGCATGTTGAACAAACTCCTGGGTATATAAAGAAATAATTCAAATAATGTGTAAATACAAACAAATACATTACCGGGATGCAAGGGTTTGTATCATAAATGATTTAAGGGACATTAGCATACATAACACACAATTCTTATGTATTTGCATATCTCATTCCTAAACTATTTACACAGATAGCACTCAAATCTTTATTGTCACGTAAAAAAAATAGCACTATTATTACTTATTCAAAATTGAAATACACCTTTACATGCGTTGATTTAAAGCACCAAAGTGACATGTATATAAATATGAAAGTTTAGGCATGAGATATGTAAATACATAAAAACTGTGTGATACATATGGAAATTTCTCATGATTTAAATAGTGAACTCATCAAACCGTAATCTCTTTCATGAAATTCACAAAAATTTCAGTTAGCATTATAACTTAGATTACTTTATGTTTATGAAGCATGATAATTTTTTTTATTGGCATGCAATTTTTGCTTATGTTCAACAACCCCAGGTGTGTCAAAGATGTTGAACAAATTAAGTGTCGCGTAAGAAACCATAGAAAAGTCTATGGAGACGAATTATATTGAGTATAGATAAGTTGTTTAGGACAAACTTTGTGGTAAAAATGTCAATATTCTTTTGGGAAGTTTATATACTTACCATGTAATTCTTATTTATTTACATAACTAATGCCCAAAGTTTTATATTTACTCTTATAACACCTTGTTGTCATAAACCTATGAATGAGAAAGATGTATTCACTTTTAAAAATGTCCTTATGGTGATATTTTTGACGTGATTTTAGAGGTATGGGGGGCATGCATGTAAATGATGTTAAGCTGTTAAACATGTCAGATTTGTCATTTCTTCATTTATTAGGGGGTTTTATGTTTTACATCATTTCAGCTTTCTTGGCTATTCTGAAAAGCTTTGGTTGAATATATTTTGCTTTTTTAGATAAATATTTATGCACAATTTATGATATACTTTCCAACACGAGTGGTTGAGGCTCACACTTTACAAATTTCCCCTTTATTTTTCTCCTTATCGCCTTCTTACATCTTTAAGTTTGTTTGAAGACTTTCTTTTTGTTGCAGCATTTATGCCATGCTCTGGATTCTCTTTCATAAGCATTTTTAGTTCTTCGAACTGTATTTTCTCAAAAGTCGACGTTTTTTCCATTTGATGTTTTCTTCGTACGGAAAAGAAATTTTTTTACGTGAAAGTAAATTTCTATATATATTACATAGTTCGTTCGATGGACTGCCTTGGTTCTCTTAGCTGTCTTTTTTTACTTCAAATCCTTGTACCGGTTTGTTTGCTTTATTTGTTTGGGAAATATACATGCATACCACACAATTCTTATGTATTTTCATATCTAACACCCAAAGTTTGATATTTACACGTAGCACCTTGGTGTCATAAATCCGTGCATAAAAAGATGCATTTCACTTGTAAAAAGATAGTGATGGTGGTATTTTTTTATGTGATGTTACATATTTGAGTGATATGCATGTAAATATGTATGTTTGCGTTAGATATGTTAATACATAAGAATTGTGTGGTATCCCTGCAAAATGCCCCAATTTGTTTTGCGTTAGGAAATTGTGTTTGGCTATTCATTAGCCGTCTTACACGTTTTTTGACGCTTTATTGTGTCACGAAGGTAGACGGCGGCCTTAGTTTGATGGCCTATATGATGTAAGTCATGGGTTCGAGGCATAGAAATAGCTTTTACGCATTTTTTTCGTGATGCGAATGCAGTAATAGAACTTATACTTCCAAGTCCTTGGTATTTACTTATACTCTTTTTTTTTTTAACATTTATTCCACCAAGTCTTTCATATCACATAATAAATGCCACTGTTTTAACTTTTTAAAAGTGAAATACTCATTTTCATGCATTGGTAAGGTGGCATATATGTAAAAATCAAAGTGTAGGTGTTAAACATGTAAATACAAGATGAACTAAATGGTATGTATGCAAATTTGAGAAGAAAGTCTTACTGTTTTATGCTGTGTCAACCCAACCCAACATGAGATTTAAGTTTGGTTCATGGTTGATTGATCTCCATCTAAAGTAGGCTCCTCTCTAAGATTGAATTAGGCTTTACTTTGGTTCATACCAAAAAGTGAATTGATTTTCAATCTTCCAGCCATATTTTTTGTTAGGAAGATTTACATGCATACCACTCAATTCTTATGCATTTACATATCTACCACGTAAAGTTCATATTTTACATATATGCCATCTTAACTATATATGAAAAGGTGTATTTCATTTTCTTTTAAGTTAAATATTGGTATTTTTGATGCGAGTTGAAAGATTTGTGTGGTATAAATGTAAAAGAACAAAGTTTTGGTGTTTGATATGTAAATATATTAGAATTGGGTGCTATGTATGTAAATGTCCCTTGGTGTTATAATACTAATATGTGCATACATCTTCACATGTATTTATGTATAAATGCTTATAGTTGTATTCAATTTAGAGTTGAATTGGTTTAATAAGACTAGTTCAATGATGAGTTAACATCATTTTGCTTTATTGCTTATTGGTTAATGATATTTTTTTTTTCTTCTTAATATTTGGCTTAAAATATCATAAATTGTTTATAGTTTTGACTTTTTCATGATGATTGTTAAATAGCATAATTTCATGCAATATTTCTTTTGTTTTGTGCACTATTATGTAAATTTGTTTGTTGCATTCCATATATTTCATAAGCATCTCTATAACTCGTACCGAAAGATTCGAACTCGTGTTATTTCTTAATGTAATCTCATGCGATGAATGTTTTTACTACATTATTAAATCGACGCAATTGTTTTTTATTTTTGGAAGATTTACATATATACCACCGAATTCTTATGTATATACATATCTAACATCTAAACTTCAATTTTTACATATATGCCACATTACCTCTGCATGAATAGGCGTATTTTAAATTTTAAAAGTCAAATCAATGATTTTTTTTTAATGTGATATGAAAGATTCGAGTGATATAAATGTAAAAAATAAAAATGTAGGTGTTAGATATGTAAATATATATTTTTCTATAGATTAAAATTGATTGATAGAAGTTTGAGGAGGGGAACATATTTGTCGAAGTAGTTGCGAATGTGTTTGCAATTTATATTACAATTCTACCCACATTTTCACAGCATCGGTTCTTCTGCATAACCATTTCAGCAAATGGTATCAGTCTGTAGAATGCTCAAATTTACTTATCTTTAGTTTGGGAAATGTACATACGCAGCTCACAGTTCTTACATAAGAATCATTTTGATCATGGTGCATTTACATACATACCATTCCTATTTACTTTACATTTTACTTTTTGCATATATACCATACAAATCTTTCATATCACATCAAAAACTCTTATCTTTTTAACTTTTAAAAGTGAAATACACATTTTTATGCTTAAGGTGATATATGTATGTAAAAATATAAGTTTAGTTGTGTTGGATATGTAAATGGATAGGAATTGAGTGGTATATATTGATCTTGATAATGACAAACTCTTCTGGGCGGAGCGCAGGCGATAGATATCTGAAGCCATGGATTATCCCAGAACCAGAAGTTAGGATCATTTCCAGAACTAAGGAGGACGAATGTCTCATCCTCGCCAGTGACGGCTTATGGGACGTCATGTCGAATGAAGAGGCCTGCGATGCCGCCCGCCGGCGACTTCTCCTCTGGCATAAAAAGAACGCAGTTTCCGATCCTTCTCAGCGAGGATTCGGCCCAGATCCCGCTGCCCAATCCGCCGCAGATTACCTCTCGAAGCTTGCCTTGCAGAAAGGAAGCAAAGACAACATTACCGTCATCGTTATTGATCTCAAATCGCACAGGAAGTTCAAGCCAAAAATCTGAACTTTGGGAATTCGCTGAAATGAGAAGACCACGATGATGACGATGATGATGATGATGGCGGCGACGAGGAAGAAGAAGAGGAGGAAGCAGGGGAAGAATTTGTTGACTGTGCCCATTTGTTTTTGGTCAATTGGGCTATATGGGTGACTGTATTAAGTATATGTATGTTGTGCTTTAAAAATGGTGAAACTCTTGAATTTCTGTTCTTGGAGCTGATAGTTGTAAGTGCTGGGAATGTAAATTTGAGCTCAATTCTGGGCTTTTTTTAACTGGTTGGAGAGGATGATAAATACTTAACTGCTTACCTTCCTCTCTCTGCTAGATTGTATTATGCTAAGGCCTCCGGGTTTAAGGCCCTGTGAGGCATTATGTTTAATATCAATTTAACTTTCATGTTTATGATCTCTTATGGAAATATTTCATGCTTTTTTTATTAAATATTTTGTGTGGATTGTATTGTGTGAAGAAGACATCCTTCTCTCTCTCTCTCTCTCTCTCTCTCTCTCTCTCTCTCTCTCTCTCTCTCTCTCTCTCTCTCTCTCTCTCTCTCTCTCTCTCTCTCTCTCTCTCTCTCTCTCTCTCTCTCTATACTTATATGAATAGAAAGATCTACATACATACCAGTCAATTCTCATGTATTTTCATGTCTACAACAAAAAGTCTTTATACCACTAAGGGGGATCGGCAGCATGAATCATTTTTTCTCCATTGTGTTTGATTGAGTGTTATATTTTTACTTAATTTTAATAAATTAAGATCATTTTTTATATAACATGTCCATGTATGTTGTGGTGTATGTCTACATTTCTAAACATAAGTCAAATCTAAAATATATGTTCTCTTAATTGGGTCATTAGATGTTTAATATGACCAAACCATACAAAGCGGCTCTCTAATCATGTCTACCGCTAGAGTTACCAACCATTTCACATATCTATTTGTTTCGCATTTTCTTTTTAGATCTATTCAAATGAAAGCATTTAGACTTTAAAGTTGACATCCATAATTCATGTTTTTCCTGAACTCTCTCTATGGACTTATCCATATCCATAGGAAGGATGTTATCAGCCAAAAGCATACACCAAGATGCATCCTCTTGCAATTGTTCAATAAGAAGATTCATAACTAAAGCAAAAGATATGAGCTTAATGCCCATCCCTGATGTAATTCAACTAAAATTAAGAACAAAATATTTAGTCAGTCCTTATATTCGAACACAAATAACAAAAATTGTACATATCTTTAATGATATGAATACAAACAATATCAATATCTTTCTTTTCTAGAACTCTCCTAAATACTTCTTTTAAAACTAGAGCTGCCAAAATAGTTCATTATTTATGAACTGTTCATGTTTTCTTTCTTAAATAGCTTGTGTTTGATTTGTTCATTAAGTAAACAAGTCGAACACGAAAACTTTTTTAAACTCAATTTGCAGACAAGCCAAACATGAACATATATTTGTTCGTTCGTGTTCGGCTCAATTTGACTCTAATTATATATATATATA